CTCCGAGATAGAGTATCGTGTGGTGGTTTAATTGTCACGGTATGAATAATAGTCAGACTCATTTTTGACTTGGTAGTCATCATAATAGGAGTACGTCCTGATATGGATAATATGGTGGATAGTAATTGGACAATTGTGTGTAGAAATTGGAGTGTTGGGAATATAATGGTGGGCGCAACGGTGATTGGTAGAAAGAAGGCGGATCGTAGTAATCATCTCGAAAATTCATTTTTAATGATTACTACGGGTGCTTGGTGGAAAATATGTGAGAAGATCGACCTAACCGGTCTTCACCTAAGCTCATTAAAACAAATCGGACAAAAACTGCACCACTTCCCAGTAACAGCATCATTTGACGATTGAGTTTTTCGGTAAGCAAACCTTCCCAATGAAGGAATAGTTTTCTTGCAGTGTCGTGTCTCTCAAGGAGTGGATGAAGGAAATTAGCTAATTTTTTTTAATTAGGCAAAGGTTAGGAAGGGTCTCAAAGTCTTCTTGATTCAATTTGAAAATAAATATAAATTACACTACTGAAGGCTTTTTGAGAAAAGAAAATAAATAGTACGGGTATTGGACTAGAGTATGGCCAAGGCATTATATGGGTTAACTACTGTTGTCGCATATTTAATTAATAATTGAAATAATAATATTTCTGTCACAAATATTTCATTAACTTATCCTCTCTCAAGGTACTATTAATATGTTCTAATAAGTTTAGCTTAATTAGTTTTATATCTTCACAGGCAAGGCAAAAATTAGTTTCAAATGATTAATTAATTTTTCTCTCAACATAATTAACTAACTTAACTAAAAAATAGTTTTAAACAATTATTTCAACTATTAAATGAACATACAGAATATATTCTCAAATTTTACTCAGACCCTAATTTGGGCCCTAATTCATACTCCCTCCGTCCCAAAAAGTTTGTTACGTTTAGAAAAAACTGCGTCCCGTACAGTCCGTTACATTTCTATTAAAAAACCACTTTTACCCTTTACTTTTTCATACCCTACCTATCATATCATACTTTTTTCCTAATAATCTATCCATCACATCTTACTTTTACCCATCACATCAAGGGTATTTTTGGAAAGTCAATACCAAAATATCCTTCCCTTAATTTCTCAAAAAGTCAAACCGTCCCATTCTTTTTGGGACGGAGGGAGTACTAAATATAAACAGAACATGTGAAAAGTAAATATTTTATTATAAAGTTGTAAATAAAAACTTACAACTAGAGTAGAGCGGGACCTCTTCGAGACAATCGAACATAATTCTACTAGAAAGATTACATAAAAACTGAGAACAAGAGCTAAAAACAGAGTCCGAGCCTTGAAGACTCGGATTGGTGTGATGATGGAAAACGAATGGATGGCTTAAGCAGGCAAGGAGTTGCTGGCGCTCGATTGGAGGACGACGGGGTGTCGTTGCCGGCAATGACCACCCTCCGCCAATCAAATTCACGTTTTAACATTTCTTTCCAAGGACGGGCATCCTCTCCATTTCGCTGGCCGTCCTCCGTCTTGGTAGGTGGCGGTAGTTGGTGGACCGCGGAGGACGGTCGTTCTCCTCTATGATGGGCTGTCCTTCGCCCCTTTTACATTGTTTTGGCTCGATTTTTCGTTTTGAATAATTTTTCCTCCTATGGTAACTTAAAATCGTTTGAGGGATATGAATTTATTTCCACCTTTCTTGTATGCTTCGTTGTCTAAAATTGTTCATTTTTTACTTTTTTACTCAATTTTTAATATTTTTACAACAAGACATGTGACTTTTATGCACTTTTATGATTATAAAAAAAACTTATAAAAACCAATGAGAAAGTGTCTTGGTTGATCCAAAACGAGACACTAACACATTAAATATAGAGAAGATAAGTGCGTATAAAACGGGCGTATCAATGATGCATTTAATGTGTTTCTTAAATTATGCATGAAAATTCAAAACGTAGAGGTGGAGAATATAGAAATTCATGAAAGGATTATTATTATTATTATTATTGTTGTTGTTGTTGTTGTTGTTGTTGTTGTTGTTGTTGTTGTTGTTGTTGTTGTTTCGACTCTTTTCTTTTGACAACAATTATTGTCATAATGTGACAATATTGGCCTACAATGTTCTATTTAAGAAATTGATGTTTCCTACAATCCTACCACCTACCCTGAAACACCCCCTTCCCCTCCCACCCAAAAAAATTGATTGGCTACAATAATTGCATTTTGGGGATGAGGTTTAGAGAGGTAGAAACAATTACTTTTTTGAACAGAGTTCTGTTGGACATGGGTTCAAACCCCTTTTGGATATTCCTTAATATGATTTTTCAGGTTTTGATAAATGGCAAACGCAACGATGAATGAAAATTTTATTTTCGATTTGAGAAAGCAAAAAAGGCGTATCAAGAATTTTACAATGTTCATCTCTACGCAGATTTTTATGCAGTGAAGTGAAGATTTTGAAGACTTTTATTTTTTTGAGTCGTAAAAATATTTGTAAGTATAAAAAAATATATTTTTCACTTAAACAAATTAATTTCTGAGGGTTAAACTAATATTTTTTGAGTCAGTTGAAAAATACTCTTTTCTCTGTCTAAAAATAATCTATTGGGTTAATTATAAAAAGTATGTCAAAATTTCTTAAAATATCTTTTTAGGATATACAATTATATTTTTTGTGGTTAGGAAAAATATCTTTTAAATATTTTTCGTGTGCATCGTTTGAGACACAAAATAATTTTGGGACTAATTAAGCTCATTTCTACACCCAAATTTTTTTCATTTATTCAAAAATCAAATTTGAATAATTCTTGAAAGGATGGAAAGCCTTACCCCTTATTCTAATGTTGGAAACAAACCCATAAAGCAAAAATTGTATTTCATCTCGCACACATGCCTTGAGTCCTTCATGTTTGAAATTTTTCCTCAGTATATCAATCCCTGGGGTTGGATCGATCACACGAGTTTTCCATTTCCACATAAATCCCTTCGTGGGATCAATCACGCGGTGTTCTTCTTTCCCTTTGCTCTTTACATATTTCCTGCAATTTTTCTTTACGTTTATCACATACACAAAAAAACGTTCATTCTAGAAAACAATTTTATTCACCCCTACTAGAGTTGCACGTTTTGTCTAACTAGTTTCATAGGGCTTGTTTTCATATTAAAGTTAAGTGCACCGTTTACCCCCGCACTCTTTAGAAATTGCATGTTTTACCCCTGAACTTTAAAAAGTGCATCGATTACCCTCGAACTCTTCGAAAATTGCACGATTTACCCCTGCACACTAAAAAATGCACCAAATACCCTAGAATAAATTAAAACGTTGCATCGTTGGTCCTAAACTATTAGATAGGGAGTGTGTTGCTTCCACACACAAGAATTGCGAATATGATTCATCTAGCCCTTGTGAATTTTCCAAAGTACCTTTACCCAAAATTGTCGTCTTTATTTAAATGTTAAGGAGTAAACAGTACAATTTTCGAAGAGTTCAAGGGTATTTGGTGCAATTTTTATTGTTCAGGGGTAAACCGTGCAATTACAGAAGAATTCAGGGGTATTTGGTGCACTTTTTAATGATCAGGGATAAACCATGCAATTTTCAAAGAGTTCGGGGATAAACGGTACACTTAACTCTTTCATATTATGATAAGAAGAGTGGTCAATAGAAGGGAAGTGTTATTATTATCATGGGTATTATTATTTTTATGAGTATTATTATTATTAAATTATTATTATTATTATTATTATTATTATTATTGTTATTATTATTTGTTTCCCATGTTTTACGTGCTGACCATTTGATGACATAATATATTTTTCTCACTACTTCTTTTGTAGAATTTTTTATGGAGTTTAAATTATATTCGTAATTGCATTTTTATTTATATACTCTCTTTGTCCACCTAAGATCTTCCCGTTGCGCGTTACGAGGCTTGACCGACTTTATTTTCAATTCAATTTATTTGAATATAGGGGTAAAATTTTAGTATAAAATCTAGGTTGTAATAAACTACAAGAAAAGTTCTACAAAACTAGAGGTGACAATACTATATTATTTTATGAAATGAGAAGTAAAAATAAACAAACAAAGTGAACTAAGTTTGACCCTGTGAATAGTGTCTAGGAAGATCTATGGTGAACATAGGGAGTACTAATTTGTGAATAAATTAAATTCAAAAAGTTCAGAGTTTTACACGTTTTTCGAATTGTGTAATCTAATTGAGCCCAAGAGTGTATTATACTCCCTCCGTCCCAAAATGGTAATTAACACTTCATTATTTAAAAATTACGCGAACTTTTATTTATTTTTGTACTTTCATTGATTATTTTATAAAATAAAATATTCTTGTCACCACTTGTTTTGTAAAACTTTTGACGTAGTTTTTAAATACGTAAGTTTTATTTTTTTTTTATTTGTAGACTATTCTTTAAATAAAATGGATTGAAAATATTCAAAATATTACTTCGTTTAGCGTAATGTTGCTTATATTTTAGGGCGAAGGGGCTATATAGTTATATTTTTGAGGAAGTATTTGTTAGGATTCTCCAAGTTCCACACCGGAAGTTTAGGAGTAAATGAACCAAAATATATAGGTTCACCCAACCACATTAGTATGATGCCTTTTAGGAGGTACCCAAAAACATATCTGTGAAGATTTGACCCAGAACAGACAATATCTTATTAATGCGGGGTTGGAGTAAGGGCACGCGCGGTGTCAACAATATTATTATAATTATATTGGGTATCTATTTATATAAGGAGTAGTACGTAGGGAGTATTATATAATTATAGCTGTGATTGTTATTATTATCTCTTGCAAGTTGCAATATATGTGGTCATTGGGACTACGAGAACAGTACAGTCTGGAAATCTGATCAACACAAGTCCCAGAGAAATCATGGGTCACCATGCCACACCCTTAACTCATCCAAATTAATCTCATTTTATTCATCCATCTCTAACGGTCTCGTATGCCACCTACGTACACTACTACTATAAATGCACGCTGCATTTCATCAACTTTTCTTCATCCTTCAATTCCATACATAGTTTTGGAAATTACTAATATAAATATGATCAATTCAAAAGTGTTCCTTCTCCTTGCCCTTTCTTTGGCTCTTTCTCTCTTCATCGCTTCCGAGGTCTCGGCCAGGGAACTGGCCGAAACTGTCGCTGATGCTTCAACGGGGTGTAAGTATACGCTCCCCAGTCCTATGTTATACCTTACGTTCGCTATAGATCTTCTTATATGCATGTTCTTTGTGACTTTTCGAAAAGATTTTCTCATTCGTTTTTTATTTTCTTTTTTACATTTAAAATATTCAAGCTACCCCGAGTTACTTAAAGAATTACTCTCTCCATTTTAAAAAAGAGTTTCTATTTTGACCAAGTGTAAAAATAAGGAAGTGTTAAGTTGTACTCCATCCGTTCCTTTAAACCCTTCCACTTTTGACTTTTGGCAAAAATAAGAAAAGTGTAATTTTGGTTGACTTTCCAATTTTGCCCCTGATGTGATGGGTAAAAGTAAGATGTAATAGTTTGGTTATTAGTGAAAAAGTATGATGTGATAGGTAGTGTATGAAAAAGTAATGGTAAAAGTAGTTTTTTACTCCGTAATAGAAAGTGGAAGCATTTTGTTGAAAGTGAAAAAAACAAAAGAGAAAGTGTTTTTGACTAATTACATTTAAATTATCATATTAATTGATGCATGAGAGCTAATTCCAAGTATATGTGGTGCAGCAACCGGAGCTGAGAAGGCAAATGATCAGATAGCGGCGGATCACAGCGAGCACAAAGACGCATATGGTGGGGGAGGATATGGACCCGGGTACCCGGGCGGCGGCGGAGGATACCCAGGCGGTGGTGGGTACCCAGGAGGCGGCGGTGGGTACCCGGGCGGCGGTGGATACCCGGGCGGCGGCGGCGGGTACCCCGGCGGAGGGCGTTGCAGATACGGTTGCTGCGGCGGGCGCGGGTACTACGGAGGTTGCCGCCGTTGCTGCGCTTATAAGGGGGAGGCGGTGGGTGCGGCTAAGCCTTAAAGGAGTTAAAGCCAACTATAAAATTATAATGCTGTTGTGCATGGCGCAAATAAAAGTTTGTGCCACGTAGTTATTTGGGCAATGATATTAATTAAAAAGCTCCATATGTCACAAAGTTATGTGTGTATTGGTGCTAAAAAGTTCTCCTAAGAATATAATAATGGAGACTCTTATGTGTAACAATAATGCAGTGATGTTATTGTACCTTCAATATGATGAAATGCGATGATGTACTAATTACCTCCCTGCACCAGCTATAATATGATCAATAAACTAAAAAAAAAAGTGAAATTTGTTTAATTTACTAGTAGTACACTAGTACTTAAATATAATCTCTTTTCTATGGAGTATAACTTACCTCTTTTGTCCATAAATTTTATTTACATTTGATTTTTTATGATCTCACTATGCAATACTTTGATCATTCATATCTTTATTCATATATAAAAAAATCATATAAAACATAATATTTTGAAATTATGTCTCAAAAAAAAATGTGTTCACATCAAATTTATATGAAAGTTTAGATTATATTCTCAAAAATTTGAATTTAAAGTTTAAAAATTTTGGCCAAAAGTCAATCTGAAAAGAAAATTTTTGGCAGACAGAATATGATTTTATAAATCGAAAATAAGATTGAACTAAATGATTTATTATTATCATCATTATTATTATTATTGGGAGTTGAAATATAGAATTGATTTGGATGGAATTGAATTCTCTCATTCCAATTTATCTTTGGCCCTACCAATTCCAAAACCACATATTTTTGTGGTACCAAACAGTAGAATTAAAATTGTTATTCCTAATTCTAATTTTATAGTTTAATTTCCGTGTACCAAACAGAGCCTTAATTGAATTTATTTTAAATTTATGAATTTATTTTAAATTTAATTTATTTACTCCCTAAATATTTGTACAAGCCAAATTTGGAAATAAGGACAAGATAAGAATTGGAAATAAGGGTTGGAGATACAACAGGCGATTTGATTACAAAAGATAGTATATTAAAAATATTATATTAAACAAGTCTAATAAAAAATTGTATCAACATCCAATACAAAGTTTATTTAGTTAGTGGTCAAGGTTCATAAATTTTGACTGCAAAAAAAAGAAGTTAACACTGAGTACAAATACACTTATTTGGTGTCTCTTCAAGGCCAGAGGTAAGGTCACAGAATGGCTACAAGATACAGTAATAATTTCAGTCATTTCATCAGCTATGTTATATCAATCAGTAATAAGACTCGCGCTACCCTTAAAATCCCGGTTCACCGCACGGATGAAACTTGGGAGATAAATTTACTGGTTTTTACCATTGCATTAGAATTACGTAACCCCGGGGATAAAATAGTAATTTCACTCCCGTAATGTAAAAAAAAAAAGGTGATGGGAGCAGACCTTCCCATGCTTCTGTGGTCATATGTACATCCCCGGTGTAGCGGTCAGCCATCTAATGGTCGAACGGGAACTCCTTGTCGTTCTCTATTACTTTGAAGGGCTGAGGATGTTGGCCAGAACAATAGAGATTCCACATCTTGAAATAAGCGCGCTCCAGATTCCTCACCCAGCGGGCCGTGTCAAAAAGAGGGCATGTCATCCGCGCAGCCTTTAGCCTATCTGTGAGGGACTGTAGTTTTTTGCGGTCGAGCGCCAGAGAAACTGCCTTCTCTTCATACTCATCCATGCTGCGTTGTGAATGAGAAAACCAAAATCAAACACGAAACTCTAATTCGACAAGTGGGTAAATATAAATGGCATGCTATTTCTACACTACAAGAATGACGTATGTCGCCTAAACCATGTCAATAGAAAGAGTTAATGCTATTAAGACCTAGAGTTCCATGCTAGATAGTAGTCTAAGGACTTGTATGTTGGTTTATACTCCATCTCCGTCCCATAAAACTTTTCAAAGTTGAAAAACGGCACACCCTGAAAATGTACTACCTTCGTCCTAGTGTATTCGTTTAGCTTGACTCTTTCGAGTTAAACTCGACAAATTTTAGACCTCAACTGAATAAAAACTATAATGTATATTTGTATAAACATAATTTAGTTTGATTTTATCTTCTTTAGAACTTTCATTATTTTTTTCATTGGTATGAATATGCAATACAAATTGAAAGTAATTGATTGATTAAAGTTTGTCCAAAAGTCAAATTGGACGAATACACTGGGATGGAGTGAGTATAATTTTGGAATTATTTTATAATTTGGTCCTAAGTTTATAATAGATGAGTCATAAATAGAAAATTATATCAAAATCACGCATTTTTAAGGAGCACCTTTTTTCAAGTTTGAAAAGTTTTATGGGACGAAGGAAGCATTTTATATTTGGTCAATTTAGGATGACTCGACAAATATGATATGAACAACTAGGAGCAGAGAAAAGGGAATCAAACGCACGTGCTGACAATCATCTCATCCCCTAGTCCAGTAGCCAAGCACAGGGAGCCTGCAACTCGTGTTGCCATTTTTTCAAGGGGTAGTGTGACCATTGGTAGCCCGGCCCAAAGAACATCTGTGCCTGTTGTATGTGCATTGCACAATGGCCTGTCCGACGTGTAAGAAAAATAAACAGAGGTTATTACCTTAGGTAAGATGAGGGATCTCATATACACAAACGGAATATAAAGGGCATGGGTGGAATTTCATACGTGTCAAGGAATAAATCTGCCAAGGAACTGCGCCTTATATGCTCCTGTTTCATTGCAACGTCAGTGAAAATGATTTGGTCTGGCTGTACACCTTGTGCAGCAGCATCTGTAAAAGCATGTTTCTATTAGTCATTCATTTAACCACACAATCTCCCCTCCTAACGATTTAACTAAGTTTCCAAATCACATACATGCACGGAGCCTCATTTCACCAGCAGCTGGAAATCTGAGAAGCCAAAGTGCACTGTTTGGAACACGCTTGAGAATATTGCACCTGCAACAGACATTTTTTTAATTGGCAAAGAGATGTCTATAAATAACAGTAAGCTAATACAAGGACACCTCAGTTAATGATCCATCCCGAATTCCCAAAATTACCACGTCGTAAAAATCTCGGGGTCCATCTTGTAGAGCTGGTTGAAACAAGCAAATATAAATTTGTCCTCTGGAAGACCATAATCTGAGCGCTTGGGTTGGCAATTTGGATCAAGCACATCGCAATTTTTCTGACATTGTAAAAAGACAGTCATGCATGAAGAATATAAGAAGCGATGCCAAGCACATTGAAGATGGAATATGAGGATAAGAAATTTACCTGCTTGTAATCATTCACAAAATAACAATGTGGGAGATGGACAAGCTTCTCAGAGTAAATATGCGAGTATTGTGTAGGAGACACGAACTACCAAAGTCAAAGTGAAACAGAAACATCAAAACTAAAGCATATACAATGTAGTTGCTGAAATCAAAAGAAACCTTAGAACAGCATAACAAACAGTTAGCCAATAGAAATAGCAAATACCTCATCAGTAACCAAATAATGTATGTAAGTAGCCCCTGTAGTTCCAGGGAAACCCATATACGAAACCTGGATTGGAGCAGGCAACATTGCAAATATCTCATTCCTAGCCCCCTGCAGAGCATCATTTTACGTTGGTCAGGGGTTAATCGTTCAACACCTTTGTATGTGCACGTGTGCAGACTTATGGCAAACCAAGTGAAGAAACAAGTAATTGATATCAGTTATCACCTTTGTATAACCATTAAGATTTATAAGAATCTGTATTTGGTCTTCGTTGATCATCCTTGCAATCATATCAGAAGACATAGAGGATACATTTATGAAATGCTCAGCTTCAGACTCAATGCGCAACCTCCATTCAGTGCCATCATTAGGACTTAAAGCATAACAGAAAACCTACAAATTGAAATGATTTTAGCTCCATATCTTTATGATGAGATAGAGTATTAATCTGCCTTGTCACCACATGAGATAATTTACACACCTCAACACTTCTTTTGTCATGCATTCCAAAGACAGAGCCCATAAGATGTGACAGTGGATGATTTCCGAAGTCACTGCTAACATACCTACAAGGAAAAATGGGAAGCAATACCTGAGTTTTGCCTATCCAAATCCATTCACCACCTAGTGCCCAGATAAGGATACAGGCAGAAACACTGTAATATGCTTATAGAAACATACCCAACCCTCAGACGAGTTTTCCCACTACCTCCTTTAATGGGTTTTGGGGGAGGATGATTGAAAGAAGGAAGCGAAAACCGGGAAGCAATCACAGAGCAATACTGAGCATATTTTTTACTGCACCAGCAACAAAATGAATTTTATAAGTAACTCAAATAACTACTAATTACCAAAGGGGAAAGATATAAATGTTACCTGATATCCAGAGCAAGCATTGAATCAAGAGGATATGCAATTGCATGAAAAGGCTGCACACTTGGTAGAACTGATGTCTATGGGCAAGCAAAAAATGCAATTAAAAGTAAAATCAAAAGAAAAATGATTATCAAATGCTTCTAAGAGAACTAATGAAATATTAATCAGGTATTGTAGACACCTTAATCTGCATTCGAAGTATCCCTTCAACTTCAATAAACATCTGCTCGCGATTATCCCAGTCACAAACACACTATAAAAGAAAAATCAAATGAAAAACCAATGAAAAAAAAAATGCCAAAGGAAGTCACTATGTAGATAAAACAGACACCTCATCCCCCCCCCCCCACCCACCCCACCCCCACCTTACACACAGAAGAAAGAATAGCATAACTTGAGTTGTGAGAAATTTGTGCTAAAGTATATTAATACAAACGCTAGGGTGCACATTAAGATAATCACAGATGGTTTAGTTTTTTGGTTAACAACTGCAACAAGTTTCTGGAGGTGACCCGCAGACGGCAGCTCTACTGCTCACTGCTCACTTACATAGAAACGATACTTCATTGAAATTTCACGAGAAAAATTATGCATACCTGTAATGCATGAAGTAGATTGCATGTAGTTTCTGGGAAGTCCGACCTTAGCATCAAAGCCTGCCTGTAACTTTTTATGGCTGCTTCGACATTGCCACTGCATGTTCCAAAAAGAAAAGATAAGTCCCAGAAGAAACTCCCTCCAGCCTTTATTGAGCTTCACATTTTGGTTTAGGATGTTTGGCTGAAGTTTTTTTGCGATTCAATTTAATATTGGTATAAAATTAAAAATAGAATTTTTACATTTAAAAATTCCATTAAAAGTTCTACTCCCTCCGTTTGAAAAAAACAATTCCATTTACGCATCCCACAAAACATTTCTACCCCACCTAAAATGTCTAAAATAAACCCCATTTCTCCTTAATTGCGAGTAGAAGTTATTTTGGGGGTTTTCTAGACAATTTAGGTGGGGTAGAAGTGTTTTGTGAGATGTACAAAAAATGGAGGTGGAACTGTTTTTTCAAACGGACGAAGTACAGAACCAGCAATCACTTGGCATTTTACTGTAACAAATTATTAAAGTAAATAATCAAAGAAAGAAGATATAGTTTGACGATGTGAATAGTAAAAGTGAATTTTATTAAGGGAGAGGGAGCACTAAAAGTAGTCCCATTTATTTGTCCATGCTCCCATGCAGAGAGAGTAACAGTATCCAACACAGCTGAATTTGTATTATCTGATACCTGTCCTTGTAAGCTGAAGCTAAATTGGCATGGGCCTCAGCCATAGTTGGCCTGATGGAAATAGCTTGGAGATAGTCCTGAATTGCTTCGCTAACCCTCCCAAGCTCTTTGTAAGTGTTACCGCGATTCACAAGTCCATCAGCTGCCAGTGGATCAATCCGTAGAACCTCATTATAGCAAGATATAGCATCCGCATAGTTACCCTAAATGTGAAATCAAGCCGAAGTCAATTTCTTGACAAGCAACAACATTTTCTTAACAAAAATAGGAGCAAATATCTATTTAATGGACAAGCTTTCGACATCTAACTACAACTGCATGTCCTTCATCCTATATAGCACATACACCAAATTTCAGGTAAGTGAAGAAGTATGAATTTAATTTTAGGAAGGACGGACATGGAAAATATGAATTTAATTCGGGGATGGAGGGAGTATAGAATATATGCGACAAATGTTAAAAATATAGTTTTAAGGAAAGCAAAGCATAAATCTTAAATTTGTACGGAGTATTAAAATTATAAAATACATTTTCATCTTGAAACAGTTATTTTTCTACAAAATTAAAAAAATATAAAAATAAATTTAGGATTTATGCTAAGTATAAGATATATTACATGTGTCCTAATGCGTTTGTCCACTTGTTTTTTTAGCACATAAACCAAGAAGATGAAAATGAAGTAGAAAGATGGCCAAAATGTCCTTATTTTATGGTGGAGTATTTATCAAGTGAAGTTGATATGAGGCAAGAGTGAGTGATATATATATACTCCCTCCGTCCCACTCTTTTTGTCCACTTTCATTTTTGCACACCATCCAATGCACTTCTTTAATCCATTTTATCTTGTAATTTGTATATTAAAAAATTATAAAAATTATATATTAATAATCTATTACATGTTAAGACAAATCAAACAAGATCACACATGACTATTTTTAGACTTACACATTGAGATAATTTGATGAGTCAAAGTGCTTAGATGAACAGTTCCAAAAGTCAAAACTGGACAAAAAGAGTGGGACGAGGTAGTATATATATATATATATATATATATATATATATATTACTTTTCACAAATGAGAAGTGGATAAATAGTCTAGGACGGCCCAAAAAAAGGCGGCTCAATATCCAGACTCCAAGTTTTGAACTCCAGTTACCACAACCCAGACCCCAAGTATAGACTCGGACTCCATGTTCCAAACTTCACCCTAATTACCAAACTACATATTCCAGTTGAAATTAAGGTGAAAAGAACAGACTTCTAGCTACATTCCTCGACCATGAAGTGGCAGATGTTTTAAAGAAACCAATCAAGATTTATCAATACTATGCAAGGGAAGCTTCATCATAAAGCCTCAACAGAAAATTTGTTGGAAAAGCACTCCAGAAAATGTTCAATATCAGCAATGAGGATTCTAGTAGAAAATAGTCACTGCACTGAGAGAAAAGGTGGCAATGGAACCAGATGATGACCTAGCATTTTGTACTACACTAGATTGCAAAATGAAAAGTCCAATGGGTGCAGGCAGTAGGATGATTGGATCACTAAATAGTAGCGTAAGGGGCTGTTTGGCAACTTCTGAATAGGTAAGTGTTGAACCAGTAAGAGGAGGTCTGAACCATTAAGCGCTGAACCAGTAAGAGGTCTGAACCATTAAGAGTTAGTATATTGCTTAACTATTTAGAGGCAAATGTCTGATCAATTCAGATAAGGGGTCTTAACCATTCAGACTCTGTATAATACTTAACCATTCAGAGGCAAATGTCTGAGCCGTTCAGACATCTGAACCATTAGGAGGCTGAAACAAACAGTCTGAACCATTAAGTGCTGAACCATTCAGACATCTGAACCATTAAGAGGCTGAAACAAACAGCCCCTAAATGGACTTTTCATCAAAAATCCTAAACTAGAGATCTGAAAGCTCTAGACATCACATAACACATCCGGCTGTGGGTTACTCCTTGATGGGTTGTGTTGAGCTCTAAGCCTTGGAAAAGACAAGGAGTATCAGCCACCTTCCAGATTCTCATTAATTTGGGTTAATACTCCGTATTCATCTAGGAACTTTCCTTACTTGGAAAACAGCATATCACCAAAAGGAATTCAATGTCTGGTGTATGCTATATCTATGTTGTATCTGCTGATGTCTATGTTGAAACCCATCAACAACAATGATAATGACAATAATGTTGATAGAAAATACAAATCCTGGCACCTCATCAATCATGTCTCTCTATTCAACTCGAAACTGTATATACATTCATCTTTCATGGCTTGCAGTATGCACACAAACATGTTGTTATACATAACAAGATAAAATTGAGACACTACCTGCTGCTTGTATATTATAGCCAAATTGTTAAATGGGGCAGAGAGTCCAGCCGTCACAGTTAATGTTGCTTTGTAACATTGTGCTGCAGCACTCACAATGTTCCTAGAAAAACAAAAGGCATAATAAAATAGAAAGAGCTAAACTTAAAAATTATCAACATTTGAATAATCCAATGTTAAACACCCAAAACATCAGGAACATGGATAAAATGCTGCTCATAAAACATACCAGTCCATATATATATTTCCAAGATTGGTGAGTGCTTGAGGATGATTTGGTTGAAGAGAGAGGCATTGCTGCATTTCCATTAGAAGAGCAAGATGGTATAGGCATGGAGTAATTTGATAAGAGTAAAGGACCAAAACAAAAATAAAAAACAAAGGGTTTATTGCAGTAAGCAGAAAAAACAAAGATTACAGAAGTGTAAACACATCCGCAAGACAATTTGCTCAATTGAAAAGCAAATAAAACTCAAACCAGCTAGCCATTGTCCTGCAGAAATCCTCAAAGCCATCTACTCCTTAGACAATTCCTACATTGTTGAAGTCCAAGCCATACTGTGGGCGGCCCTCGACCGTGTGTACATGCTGAGGCCTATGCCCAGGTTGCATCCCCATGAACAACCCTGGTCAGCTCCACTAATTCCTATACGGTCTCTAATTTTAAACATACTGATGTTGTGATGCATGTACATGTAACTGTGATTGAATAATACCACAGATTGGCATTAACAGAGACTTTGAGTAATCCCTCACAAGAGGTTAGACAGAATCAGCTTCTTTTGGTAAACTTAAAGATCACTAATATTGGGGAGATATCATGGACTATCGGTTTCCGTGTTTTATTAGTAGTAGTTGGCTTCCTATTTTCTTCTCTACTGTGTTAGAGTATCGTATCTCCCATCGGAAAATTAAAAGGAAAATAATGGGTTTATAAGCTATTGAGTTGAACAAGTAATCGATTGTTTGATCTTTTAATGAGATTAAACAGAAGTGCCTTATGGCCCAAACCAGTGATCCCTACCTCATTCTAAACTCTATCACGGTATCAAAGTAGGTTTTTGGCCCACCTCGTTCGTCAAGGTGTCCGACGTTCATTCCTATATGAATGCAACACCTATATGACCACGACTGTGTATACTGTATAAGCAGCCAATGAGCCTTTAGCCCTGTTGTTCATGGAAAACAGCAACCCAATTGTTTGTTTGGATGCTTATACACAGTCGTGGTCATAAAGGTGTTGCATTCTCAAATATTGGTTTCAAGGGAAGGGAATCCATTTGCAAGTGGTCAACCTGTAAGATAAATTGTCCACTTGAGGGGGAGTGTCAAAGTATCTCACATCGGAAAATAAAAAAGAAAATAATGGGTTTATAAGCTCTTTGAGTTGAACTAGTAGTGAATTAGATTCAATCTCTTAATGTGGTTCAACCCAAGTGTCTTATGGCGCAATCTTGTGATTCCTGCCTCATTCTAGTATCTATCATATTGGAGACAAAATGTGGATACACACACAAAACTAAATATAATTAGTTTCCGAACAGCCAGGCGTGGTTAGATTCTGAAATTCCTTCACGTGGGAGTGCACAATCCACCGCCTTTGTCCAGGTGCTGCTGTGGCATGTGTAGACTTGCAACCCGCTAGAAAAACAGCCTTGTTCACAATGATGGAATCCGGGCCTTATTCACAAGGCTAGTTCTAAATACTGGCCCTTAAAATTGGATACATCTAGCCAGCGAAACTGTCCTTAGAGTGACCCTCCACAGAACCAAAACCAGGTGAGCATCACCCAAACCAATAGGTAATCTCCAGGTGGCTAAGACATTGAGCGGCAAATAGCTAGGTTCATACACGGCCTAGGCTGGAAGTTAGGAAATGACAGAATGTTGGTGTATTACGGAATCAGTAGTGAAATGTGAAAGAGATGATGTACCTTAGCCGAGGAAGAAGGTTCTATCTTATAGGTAACTGAAATGAACTTACAATGCAGTCAAAGACTCGATGCTTAAGGAGCACATTGCCACCTATGTACTGAATCAAGATTCAAATTGTGAAACAGATTAACAGAATACACGTTTTCTGAATTGTGAACTGTGTTGAGAAGGTTGAGGTCATCTGTCAGAGCTGCAGAGGATGTTCATTTAGTAACCAGTGATGAATTCAGTTTAGAGGTTGCATTTGTGTGGGTAGTAGGAGAGCCTGCTTTCCAAGGCTTTGGTTATTAGATATGTGAACTGGTAGATGGCCTTCTTGACAAAAGTGAAACAATGGTCAACTACATCCTAATGCTTCTCCATGGCAGCCTCCAAGGCATTGATATGTTCTTCCACTTCTTCAGTTTGTGTCTTCATCATTCAAAAGGCAAGTGCAGCCAATTAATAGAGAGTAACTGAGTAAAGGAGCGAGAGTTGGAAAAAACACATAATAGAGCATTGGGCAGAAGATCAAAGATAACAAGAGTGTAAATGCCTCCAAGACAGCTTGCCCAGTACAAAGCTAATATAACTCTGTCATCCCGCCATTGTCTGTCTCTTGGAAACAGCCTCTCTACCTGCGTACACACACACCCTCCCCGGACCATACTCTCGTGGGATTCTACTGGGTGGTTGTTTTTTTTTCTTCGAACTGATAAAAGTATTATAATTCTAAAACTTTGTTTGATTACATAAATATTTGATGAATGAAACTTGTCTTCTCCCAGCATTTTTTTTCTTTTTGAAGGGTTGGAAAACCTAATTGGTGCAGGAAGGAAATTTGATGCAAGAGATAGACACTAAGGAGGAAGAAGATGACAACAAGCAAAAACATTAATTAATTACTACTAGAGAATTTAGCTTTGTTCTTCACCACCAACTTGTTGGTCCTTTGCAGCAGCTGCTGCTGCAATTATATCATCAAATTTATCACTCTTCCCGAGAACAATTTCAATTTTGGCTTTTGTGATTGGGCGCCCTCTGGAATCATCTCGAACATCAACCGTCGATGTCGTGATCTTCTTCTCCAAAGCCAATCCATCGTTCTTCAGAATTTCACTTATTGAGACTACAGTGGAAATGGCCATTCCAAGACCAGAGAGCTCAACCTCATTGTGCTGCTGCATATACCTCTTGGCAAGATTAACATGAAAAGAAGATGGGCTTCTTGGTGTTGGAGACTTGAATGCGATTCTTCTTCTGAACGTCCCCGCCGGTGACGCTGACGTTTTTTATTCCCTCCGTAATCTCCTCCATCCCTGAATATAAAATTCCTTCCAACTAACCCTAACCCTGACGCCGATTGGAATCCAGCACTTTTCCGATTCTGCGAGAACGCGAGACTCGAGCAATAAATCAGTGGTAGTTGTACACTTGGGGTGATGAAAGAATGGGGCTGCGGGGAAGGAGGAACCGCTTGTAAACCCTAGAATGCTAATTTCCTGGGTGGTTGTTGTCTTCCTGCCATTGGCTAACAGAACCCCTCTATTATAGACTTATAGTCATCTACTCATTAGGAAAAAAAAGGAAACCAACTACTCCTATGAAACGAAGAAGCATAGAAATGCTCTAAATTATTGTTTTATCATTTTTTAAATTGTTCTGAACTAAATATAGGGAGTAACCAGTTTCTAAATTAGCAGCATGCCTTCCTAATTCCTTACATCCTTTATCTTGGAAAAGTACACAATTTGCCTTTCTCTACATAATGCTGCTGTTACTCACTATCATGTATGCATAACATTACTACTCTTTAGATATGAAAAAAATACATACACGATAGCAATGAACTGCTTCTTCAACTCTCCCAGAGTCTTTCAGTGCATTACCCTAGAATGAGAAGAAGAAAAAAGATATAAATAATCCATTATAGGTGGAGCTAGGGGAGCAAATATCACCAGCTAACCAGATTGTTGTATGCCTCTAAGAATCCAGCATCACAGGATATAGCTCGCCTATAATTGAGTATTGCCATATCAAGGTTGCCTTGCTCGTAATACAAACTAGCTAGGTTTCCTGCAAAAGTTGTTGACATACAAAATTAAAGAGGAGCAATAAGCTTTGTACTAAGTAGATATGTTGGTGCTGCGATTGTTTATAAACTCTCCAAAATTCAACAGCAAATAAAAAGGTTGTGCATCACAGATTTCATGAATTAATAGCATGGGCACTGAAATCTGACTAATCAACTCACAGACATTTTCTTCAGGTTACTTGTGATCTGCAAATGAACTAGTGAACTACAACCAATTAAGGATAAGATGTGGAACCTTTGATGCTTTTCAAATGTTTCTCAAGGCTAACTTGGATCTATAAATTTAAAACATTTTAAAATGAATAACCATAGAATATCCAGGTTAAATTCACGGTTATTTCACTATCAAAAGAAAGAACATACATAAAAGTTACGGTGTTCAGTTTATTTATATAAAAAAATCTTATCCATCCAAAACTTCCCACAATTTATAGTTTTAGGGCCTAAAGTAGCATAAGTATGAAGCATCTGTAATTTTTTCCAGGAGGCAGAAAAATACAAAAAGGCGCACCATACAGCACATATTTAAACACTGAAATGCATGAACCTGGATACAAAATGTTCAGGATTACATGGGGCTTACCAAAAGCCATAGCACAATCTGGCCGCACTTGGAGAGCACGTTGATAACATATTATGGCCTCTTGGGGCATTGCCAATGCCTGGAAATGCAAACAATACATCATATTTTTCAGGTGCTATCCCAGGCATTCCCATCCATCCAAAAAAAGGCAGCATTGTTCACTATGCACAAGGGGTTACCTTATAAACATTTCCAAGGTTCAAGTACGCATCTGAAAAATTTGGTTTGAGCTTCACAGCTTCCTGGCAATTAAAAGATTTGAAAAGTATTTTGTTAGACCCCTCAAAAAATAGAAAAACAGTAAGCCTCTCAGTTAAGGGGTTAAAAGAAATGCACGTGCATATGCAAATAAATAAACACATTATTATAATGTCATAGAATTATTAGTAAATGTAAATTCAGTGGATACCTTGTAGTATTGCAATGCCCTGTTTAGATCACCAGCCTCCATGAACAAACCGGCAAGATTGGACCATGCAATAGCAAATGCAGGTTGAATGCGAAGAGCCTCGACATAGCAACTATAAGCCTAAAAACAGACAAAACAATACTTCAGTAAATATTGAACTAATTTTCCTGGCCTCAGTCAATTTGCAACATATGTTGTTGAGTTTCACTACAACAACAAAAAAACTTTAGGAAAAAATGGTTATCAAAGCATATACTTTCCATTCAAGCAAATGATATTGAATAGAAGTTTTACATTGGAGCCCACCATATGGTTAATAGTTTAAAAGTCAAGTTTCATTACTTAGTCATATATAACTAGTTGAACAAAGACAGTTCCCTAAAAGCATCATCTTGAAAGAACAAGGAGAAGTTTGATATACATCTTACCTCCTGCACTAAACCTTGTGCTTTCATTAGATTCCCGAGGTTACTATGTGCATCAACCTACATAATTATATTAGGAGCAATGATAAGTAAAGAGATCAAAATGACAAAAAACTTATCTGGCTGGAATAAATGAATGTGATGTATTCGACAGTTAAATACCAGACGTGGATTTAAAGCCAGGGCTTGGCGGCAACATTGTGCTGCTTCAGTTAGCCTGCCTTTTCTCATATATGCACTGGCTAAATTTGACCACACATCTGCAAAATTTGGACGAAGCTGGAACAATAAATTCAAATTAGTTTCATGCAATCAATCCTAGCAAACTCCACCAAGTGCTTGTAGCTTTGTACCACAGAATAAAAGAATAAAAAAGAACCTATATCATTCCAGAGAAGGTACCAAATCAGGCAATCATAATTAAAGATAAAAACGTGTAGCAATGTCATAACTATTAGTTACAGGAATCCTCTATTTTCTGTTACCAATGCAGAAGGTTTTTTTTTAAACATGCAGAAGGTATTTTACGCACATTCTGTATGAGTCTTAGACTTAAGAAAACTTAATTCCTTAAGAGTTAGAGTAAGAAGACATCTAATAACAAATGACAATCTCAGTAAAAATCAAATTTTGTGTGTTGAACTGTTTACTGACTATAGTGAGAATATTGAGTCCATGAATGGGATGGAAGTAGTCTGCCACCTAGATGTACAACAAAAGAAAGAAGTGTCTCCAACCCCAAGAAGGCTCCAAGAGGAAAAAGAAAGGTGAAGAGTTGACTGATTGAAACTGAGCACAATTGGTTTCATTAGTGGGCATTACTCATGTTTCCTGGTTTGTTAGTCGGCATTGCCATGTCCATTTTCCAAGTTTTTCTTCCTATTTATACTGTAATTTCTGTTATTTCTTTTGCCTATAAATTCTGAATCAGAATCTGGAATTAGGCTTGAGTGTTGGGACAGAAGTTGTCTGCCACTTAGCTGGATGACATAAGAAAAAGTGCCCCTTCTCCCAAGGCCCGTCCCATGGGCATACTATGATAATACATGAATACACATTTCAGGAGGAACAAGAAAGGTGAAAAGGTTGACTGATTGAGGGTGGGCATGATTGGCTTCATTAGTAGGCAGTACCCATGTTTCCTGTTTGTCAGTGGCCATTACTCCCCCATTTCCCTGGTTTTTCTCTTACATTTTGTAATGTACTTTGGGTTATTTCTTTTTATCACAATGTCAGTAGCAGATTCGGGAACTAGACTTAAAAATCAGATTATTTCCTTGTAATGGAGATCTATCCAATCCTAATGGACAATTTTTAATTGAAGTTATTGCTCAGATTCTGCCTTACTTCTTGTTTTTTCCTATCACTCCTTGTGTCTTAGCATACCATGGTCCGGAAAAATGGAGTACTTCAGAAGAAAGGTATTCATAAACTTCAAATGAGGTAAATTATGCACCTTCAAGTGTTTTTGGGTAAGAGAATTGCAAATATTTGATTTTAATTAATAACATGCATCGCATATAGAGAGTTCATCCGTGGAACACTAAAAAGATGTTATACAGACCTCAATTGCAATTAAATAATAGCGGATTGCAACATCAATATCGCCTTTCTCCTGCATGAGAACAATAGGGGCAAAACAGTTAAACGTTATACACTTATACACACACAATGTTCAAGATGTAAAGAATAGAAACTCACTTTCCAAGCATTTGCCATATTTCCATAGCATTCAGCAAAATGTGGGTTTACTCGTATAGCTTCTTCATTCTTTGCAATGCACATATCAAAATCGTGCAACTAAAACAAAAAAAATTGATGTTTAATTAAGCTAAATATTGTATGTGGGCTTCAAGAAAATCCATATCTAGACAAGAGGGTAGAAAAGATATTAAACCTGATAACAGATTGCCCCAAAGAGAAGAAGATTGTCAGTACGCCGTGGGTTTTTCTCATAAACAGCCTTGCAATTTTCCAATGCCTGGTTATAGTTTCCAGCTCTGTAGTTCTGGTGAGCAAGGGTCAAGAGCATATCCTCATCAACTGCAGTTGAAACAAATTGAAATATCTGAAGGTGGCCACGCTACCACATGCATGCTTCAACCCCCTTTGATCCCCCAAAGGAAAAATACTCTCTAAAATAAATCATTTTGTATGTAGAAATTTTATGAGCTATTTGTTGATCCCTTGAATCTATGACCATTCAAGTAGTAAAATCAAAGACCCATAAGCTAAAAACAAAACACAAGGTTACATTTAATAGATTCTCTCAAAAACCATATGCGCATGCCAACCCCACCTTTGAAACAGTGAAAGGAATGAGATTATGTGAAACAATAACCAATTACGCAAAAAAAGGCAAAAAAGTACTTCATTCATAAAATATGCAACATTTGGACTTTTTCTACTATTCATATGAAATGTGCTGGCCATTTTTTTGTTAATATATACTAGAAACAAATAGCACAATGTGATGTGTTGCTAGATTTCTCTTAAAGTCAAGTTTCAAGATTTCAACTTTACATAATACGATTAGATAATTAGAGTTATTAATGGTCAAAGTATTGCATTGGCAAACATAAAAATCAAAGTGATGCAATTATTGCTGCAGTTATTACATAACACAGGAAGTACTATAGAGAGTACATGACCTAGTTTATAATAAAAGATAGAGGCACTAGCAACTAGCAAGAAATTATGTAATCAACAAAAAAACAAAAGAAGGCATCACATATTCACGGAGCTAGTCATATTGAGTTAAAGTTAAAATATGCATTGGCGCGTGCTTCGCAAATTTTTGTTTTATCATACTCCCTCCGTCCCAAATTAATAGTCCCCACTTCCTTTTTGGGACGTCCAAAAAAAAATTCCTTGTTTCACTTTCGGAAAGGTTTTTGTGGCTCATATTTTCTCTCTCTCCTCTGCATCACTTTCAACCACACAATTTCATTTTTCTTAAGCATTGTGTCAAACCAACTGTGGACCATTAAATTGGGACGGAGGGAGTATGTTTTTAATGTTCATTGTCATAAGTAGATAAAGTAGCATCAGTTAATTCCATTACAAGTGTACAGCTCCTCTCCATGGTTGAACCAGCACCAAATGAAGGGGTAAGTTATACCCAGCACCAAAAAGAAATATAAGTATGATAATAATGATGATAAAATCCTACAAAATCCAAATTGCCAATGATAAGCTTGTGACATTGGAGGTTTGAGCAATTCAACAACAACAACCAACCTAGTAAAATCCCATGAAAAGATCCATGGTGTTAGTATACGCATATCTTACCCCTATCTAAAAAAGGTAAAGATGCAATTTCCAAAAAAATCCATAGCTCAAGCAAAAAGGGACAAAGAATAGTGTAGTTTAACAGAAGGATACCAAAAGAAGAGACGGTAAATACAGCAGCTAACCCAAGCAAATATCTAACTGCATCTAACTAATCGTGAAAGCCCTACATAGACAAAGAATCACTCATATCTAGGCCTATTTTACAACATTAATACTTGACCGCAACACGCTCTTATCTACATCCATGTCCTTAGTGAGCTTCGGAAGTCGCAAACTCTTATTTGGTTGACATCTACTCTTCAAATTCCCAGCCTCTCACACCTCTCCACTAGATCAGTACTCCACATCAAGTATCCAAACCATCTTATTCTATATTTGTACATATTACTCTCCCCAAATGACACTCTCACCTTGTATTGGATATCCTTTTTTTAAACTCTACCCATCCTAGTATGATCACACATCCACCCCAACATCTTCATCTATGTTACTCGAACTTTTTTGCATATGTGTTCTTCACCAACCAGTTGTACGTCTCATATAACATAACTGATCTAACCCCTACTCAACAAAACTTGCCATTAAGTTTTGCCAACACATTTTTATCCCACGAGACACTTAAGGCTAGCCTCCATCTTATCTCCCCTGCTACAATAAGATGGAAAACACCCCCATCAATCTTGCCATCACCCTAGAAGATAGATCCAAGGTATCAAAACATATCCCTTTTAGGTATAAGTTGTGAATCAATCTTCACCCCCACTTCCGACTCGGCCATCATCCCCTTTAAACCGCACTTCAAGTATTTGGTTTTAGTCCTCAAAAGTTTGAAACCACTTCCCCAATGTTTGAAACCTCTAGACTCCCGGAGCCGCATCAATTTTGTAGTATGATATAAGAGTTGTTCAAGATGAAGCAGACCAACAAACATAAATTCAATTAATACAAATCAGCTCCTAAATAATACTGTAAATATTATCATCTACAGTGAAGACCTAAACATACAGAGCATGTAAATCAAGCCGGACACTTTTGCAATTTACTAGGGAATAAGATAAGTAAATTAATGGGATTTGAGCCCTAAAACGCACCAAAGAAACCAGAATCCAACAAAAATCAATACAAACTACAATCTTACAAAAATTTAAAAAGCCTTACTTCCACCAGCAATATCAGGCTTGAAGCTGGCCGATGACAAAGCCGATTGCGAGGAATCAACCCTCTGATCGCCCCGGCCCAGGCCAATTCCATCGCTGAGAGCTTTAGAAATCAGCTGATTATTATGCTGCTGCTGTGGCTCTTGCGCCACCTGTTGCAGGCGGTACTGCCGAGGATCTCCCTGCAACGAAAGCATGATTCCGTGCGGATGCTTCCAGACTTGCCGATCAAGCGATCACGCTCCCTACTCACAGCACGCGCACATCTGTAGATGGATGGTTTTTTTTCTTCTTCAAAAAAGGTTAGCGGAAATGCAGGAAAAGCTGCCCTCCGGGTTGAAGAGAGCGCCTTGCTTTTTGTTCAGATGTCCTTAGGTTACTGTGTCGTCGACTTCTAGGTGATTGATGTGAGTTCTCAACCGACAATGACAACAAAACCTATAAAAAGACAATAATTAAGTTAGGGGTACACCAACATAGGGTACCCCAAGTGTACACCAAGCCAATACAGACACACACAGACACAAAGTGTCTGTGTTGCACAGATATTTTGTGTCTGTGTGTGTCTGTGTTGGCTTGGTGTACATTTGGGGTACCCCATGTTGGTGTACCCCTAGCATTACCCAAAAGACAAACTAAAGAAAAAGCAATCCAAATCAAATCAAATCAAATCATACTCCCTCCGTCCCAATTTAAATCGTTTGTTTTGACTTTTGGGCATATTTAAGGAAAACAAAAAAATAGAGTTGATTCTCTAAAATTGTCATTACTTTTTAGAAGGGGTGATGATGAATGAGAAGATAAGGTGAAGAAAAATGACTTATTTTAGGGGTAGTTTAGGTATTTTATTTTTAAAAGTTTACGAAAACAACTAACAAGCAACTTATTTTGGGACGGAAAAAAAAGGCAAACAGGCAATTTAAAATGGGACGGAGGGAGTACCAAATATGTAAAAGAAAAAAAAGAGAGAAGTAATAAAGAATTGCTGGGTTCAATGACATTGGAGTCTCATGTCATGGAATGACTTATTGGCGCTTTGGTGTCACATTTGTAAAATTGACAATTTTTACCTTCCTAACCATCCGGTAAACCCCTTCATCTCGCTCCGATCTGAACACACCCCTCCTTCAATTGCACCCACAAGTTATTTTTTACTTTGGAGTCAAATTTTGACTCCAAAATCAAAATCAACTTGTTGGGTGCAATTGAAGGGGGTGGGGGTATGTACAGGTCGGGGTGAGTGGGAGGATTTACTGAGGGTAGAAACCGTCAATTTTATGAACAAGGCATCGGAGCGTCCTCAGGTTATCCCATGACATTGTCGGGCAATGTCATATGAACCGTCCTCATAAAGAATTTTATGTTTTTTATCTTCAAAGTAAGAATATGATTTTAATAATGTCATTTTATATTACCAAAAAGACAAATCATTTCGTGGACCTGAAATCTATATCTATTTTATGAGCTTTAATACATTTGTATCATAAAAGAAGTTGGTATTTTACAAAACAGAAAATATCTCCATGTAGGCCCATGAAAAATGTGAGAAGGTCTACATTTAAAATATAGACATTGGACCATATAAGCATCACTCTACCAAAAAACACACTGGATATCATTATACATTGTCATAATATCACATTGCAAATTTCCATTTTAGACATAACAATATAAAACTTCTTCAAAATATCGAGTATTATGTTTAACTCGTATTTGGACTTGTTTCTTATACACAATTACACAAATACTTTCTTCCACCCACAATAAATACTCCCTTCGTCCCCAATTTGATTACAAATTGGGGTTTACGAGAAAAATATCAAACTTTTTTAAATCATTTTATATATAAATTGTTATATCGATAAGAAATAAAAATTACACATCAAAAAACTATGTCAAAAGTTCTACAAAATAAGAGGTGACAAGAATATTTTATTTTATCAAATACTTAATGAAATCGCGTAAACAAACAAAAGTTGTCGAGAGGAGAGAAAAAAATTATAATCTAATTGGGACGAAAGGAGTATGTTTTACTAGAATTTTGACTAGATTATTTTAAATTTAAATTATTTAAATAATGACACATAATTTAAAATACGAGTAAAGCTAATACTCCGTATATAAAAAAAAAAGTTATATCAAATTTCATATAAAGTAGTAAGAGATAACATGATTATGTTATTTGTGTAACTGAATAATAAAAAGAAGTACAAAAGTGAAAAAGTTTGACCAATTAATATTGGAGTGAGACGATTATTTGAAAACATACAGAGTATATTCTCCGTTTTACCAAGAATCACAATAAGTTATATATTCTTTTTATCTGTTTCAAAATAAATTTTACAATATATGAGAAGATGTAACACCCCGCCCCTCACCCTGGCTGTAAGCGTCCGCTCATAAGCTTGTAGATTGGCCCCACAAACTAACACAAGTCTTTCTCGCGCACTTTGTGCTCACTCGTGCGCGCTCAGGGAACTTCTCAGGGGGTCACACATCCCAAGGCGCCGCCCATCTTAGAATTTATCCAAGTCAAGCACACTTAACTTCGGAGTTTCTAAGTGAGGAGTTCTCGAAAAGAAGATGCACCTTGTTGGTATGAGTAGTAATATAGATCTATTTAAGCATTCCTTTTCTTTCCCCAATCCGTTTATTTTTAAATAAGCATATTACATTCACCTCTACTTAGGAATGAAACGTCCTCGTTGCATCCTTTTTTCAAACTCCTAGATCTCCCTCGCTATGTGAACTAAGCTTGTTGGTCTGTCACGGTCGTAGGGTTGCTCCGATACCATTTGTAACACCCCGGCCACAAGCCTCTGTAACGCCATAAAACATACCCTAAAAGTATTATTGAATTATTATTCAATTAGACAAATTTATTTCTGCATAAATCTCATAAAGATAATTCAATATGCAGATTAAATGTGCGTGGTCGTCTTGATTAGAGATCAGAGTACAAACCTAAAACTAAGATTTGTATGATTGATGTAAATTCTTAAGTGGTTTATTGAAATAAATCATTAGATTAAATGATATGAATTAATAAATATGATAATCTTTTGAATAAAAGATTAATTAAATCAATTTTGACTATGTTTAAGTTAAACACTCAAAAACAAGGTGTCATGAAAAGTATTACAAATAAATAAAAAAATTATTTAGTTGTGTAGAGTTTGACCGTTGATCACAACGGTACAATCGAAATTTAATTTGGAGAAAGTTAGACCAAAAAGTGTACCACGGTTGGAACCAATATTAGTCCCAATCAGGGAAGGAGTGTAAAATTTCATTCGACACCGCTCGCTCCACTCAGCCGAACATAGAACAGGGAACAAAGACAAACTTGGCTTCTTCTTCCTTTCACTCCCTATATAAGAAGTGCTTTGGTGCTATCCATAGAGTGAGAGGTCGCAGGAGTTGGTAGCAATACTCGCCGTAAGTTTCACCAGAAAATTTCCAAAACCCTAATTTTAGTCCGAGGCAAGCCTTAGATATATCTAGTGATTAGAATGTTCATGTAAATCGGTTTTACGTTCATTTTCGATCGTACAGTTGAGTTTTGCGTTTGACATACTTGAAGAACCAAGAATCACAAACCTTGAAATTGTTGTTCAAACTTTGAATTAATAATACCAAAATGATCTATGAACGCTGGAGAACATTTCTCTATAGTTTAATTGAAGTTTGGTGGCTTAAAATGAAGTTTTCAAAAATTGGCTTGAGGTTGAAGATGACATTATTCAAAACTTTTGCAGACACGATATCAAGCTACCGCCCAGACAATACCAAGGTACCACTTGAATAGTAGGCCTTACCATTAGGTCGGTAGACAGATGCCGTCACAAGCCGGTTTTCTCTAGGGGTGGGCACGGATCGGGACGGTCCAGATTTTAGGTTGTCTCACGTCTTGTCCCGTTATATTTAAACGGTCCAGAACGGTTCATATTACAATCTAGCTATCCAACAAAAAACAATGAGTGAAACGAGACCAAATAAATTTAATAAACTTTGGACTGAAATCTCAAGCTTATGAAGTTAACTTAATTAATTAATTAAAGAATGAGTGTATTTGGATTTTGGACTAGAATTAGTATTATATATTAGTAGAGTATGTTTCAAAAAAAATATATTAGTAGAGTAGATGAAACGGGATAAATGGGACGGATCGGTATAAATTTAAGTTGTCCCGCTCATGTCCCATTTGATATTGGGATGGAACGGGTTCGGGATAAAAAAATGTGTCCCAATTAATCAGTACAATTACAAAACGAATCCGGGATTTTTTGGAACGGTCCAACGGGAACGGATGTCACGCTCATCCCTAGTTTTCTCTATCGATGCCTGACACCAGGCGGTACCGTATACCCCGTGGACATTACTGAGGTATCATGCCTTTTTTCTTCTTCTTCCTTCTTCACCCCTTCTTTTCTTCTTCTTCCTTCTTTCACCCATTTTATTCTTTTTATTCATTAAACCCTCCACTCCCAACAACCCACCATCCCTTCTCGTTTAACCCCACTCCCCTTCTTGAGTCCCTTTTTTTAAATTTTAACTTTCTCTTTAAGTGTTTTTTTGTTTTCGAATTTTTTGTTGAATAACTTTTTTTTATTTTTTTTATTTTTTCTGATATCTGTCTTTTTAGTTTTGGTCTTTTTTATTTGTAAATTTGTTTTTTATTTTTTCTCGATGTTTTAATATTATTGTTGTTTGTTTACAATTTTTTTTTACTAACTTTTTTGTTAGTTTTTCTATCTTTTTGTTAACAAATGTATAATTTTTTGTTTGTTTTTTTTTTGTTTTATTTTTTTGATTTTTTTGTTTGACTTATTTTTTTGTTTGTTTTTGATCTTTTTTGTAAACAATTAAATAAAAATAGTTAAATAAATTAAGCCCAAAACAATTAAAAAAAGAGAACTAGAAACAATAACGGTAATGTTAAAAAAGTTACTAATTAATCTTTTGTTTTTGTTTTCTATCTTTTGTGTTAACAAATGTCTTATCTTTTTTGTTTGGTATTTTTATATTTTTTTCATAAAGAAAAGTAAAAAAAATTGAAATTTATTCTTTTATTGTTTTTTTTATTTTATATTTTTTGTTTGTCATTTCATTTTATTTTGTTTGAAATTTAGGAAAAAATATAATACATTAAATAGCAATAAAAAATAAGATGTTTGTAACAAAAGATTAAAAAATTACTTATTTTTTATTTTATTGATTATTATTTTTTTAATAATATGGTTGTAAGAAAAGGAGGACTGAAAAAAAAAGAGGAAAGGAGAGGGTGGGGGGCTGGTGGGGTGGGGGTAGGGTGGGGTGAGGGAGGCTTTGAAGAAGAAGAAGAAGAAGAAGAAGAAGAAGAAGAAGAAGAAGAAGAAGAAGAAAAGGTGGTGAAAGAGAAGAAAAGGAAGGGAGTGAGAGGCCAGGGGGAAGAAGAAGAAAAAAGAAATGGGATCAAATTAAAGATTTTAAAATATATAAAATTGTAATTTGGCCAAATGACATGATGGTTACCTGAAAACTGGCTCCAGGTACCACTAGTGAAAAACTTTCAAAGTTCAGATATTTTTGTAAAAGAATATGAAGTTTAGGTACCAAAATAAAAAATAGCTGAAAGTTCAAGTATCATCCGTGAAATTTACCCCACATCGTTGAGTTGGGTTTGAGAAATTGTTTGTTGTTTCTCCTCTTTTCTTCTTTGCAGGGACGAAAGAAATTGGAGGGGCTATGGCTGGTGGCTAGACTATTATTACTAGGAGGGGTGAATACAATTTTTTTTAGAAAGCTAAAGCCTAAAGGAGTGTTTTGTTTATCTCTTGTAAAAACTTTGTGCGTAGAGCTCCAGGCTTAGTGGGTTTGTATATCATGGAAATCCCTTGTCGTTAAAAATAGAGTTGTTGAAGTATTTACTTCCAAATGAATATGTGGCAGGCTTTATGTTGTTCTCATATGTATCCTTTCCAACTACTAATGCCATGGGGTCTCAAGCTTCACATGATTCATGAATTTAGGTGTTACTGCCATGCATTTAAGTGGAGCGGGTTCTTGCACTATTATTACACTGTTTTTTACAGAGTATATAGTTAATTATTCTAAATATATATTGAAGTACAATTGTTGTAGAATAAAATTTATTCGGAATTGCTAAATAGCTACTCGCTCCGTCCTAAAACTTTCTTCCCACTTCCCCTTTTTCTCCGTCCTAAAACTACCTTCCCATTAGAAAAAAAAGATGACAAATGACATTAATACCATCATGTATTTACACCAATTATCTCTTAACTCTATATTTTGAATGATTGCAAAAAAAAATTTCAAAAAATCTTTTTTAAGGAGGATAAAATTTGAAGTCAAAGCCAAAAATTAAAAATAGAAAAAAGTCAAACTGAGAAGAAAGATTTAGGACGGAGGGAGTATTTTTTTATTCCATATAAATGAAAATTTGAGGTATTACATTCTATGTGTACAAAAAAATATTGGAGCTCAAGTTAAAAGTATGAAGCATTAAACATTAATTTTTTTAATTGAAATGACATGTGTAGGTTTTGTTAAACACGGAAATATTTTTGTTTGCAAATATAAGTCGGGTGATGATTCGGGTGACGGACGGGTATCAATGATTGTGTTGGATTAAGAGGTTCATGTGAGTCGTAGAAATGTGGCATGTTTGAGAATAACGTTAGTATTTTGAAAATGTTATCGACGGACATCATTTAACGTTAGCATTAATTTGCAGCATTCAATTTTATCCAAAAACCAAAGCTAATTAAATTTTAAAGCTATTCCCAAAAAAGATGGTCGAGCATAAAAAATGATTCCAAGTTCTCCTTAGAAACCTCATGTGCTGAAGCTTTCAAAATTCAAACTCAGACGGTATCACACTCTACCCGTTAAACCCAAACAGGCATAGGTTTTTCTCATCAATGGCGCCCAAGGTTCTCATGGTCAGTGAACCCTCCATTCATTCGTCGTTTTTCCCGAAACAATATTTTCTCATTTTCCGATGATGCTTTTGTTTACGCTGAACTTTCAGGTGGCAGAAAAGCCGAGTATTGCTCTCTCGATTGCCTCTGTGCTCTCTGGTGGCAAAGTATGGATACCATTTCCTTTTGTAATTGATTCATTTTTTTCGTTATGTTTATTTTTATGATGTGGGAACCCATCCACCCAAGGCTCCTAACCCACCAAGATCACGAGGAGTAGACCATTGATTTTTTCTTATTGGGGTTTTAATATTTCAATGTCCAGTGGGTTTTCATGCTATTCTAATAATCTGAATACGTAGAGAACTAGCAAAAATCCATCAAGAGTAAGATATAATTCACAATTTCAATGAATCGATGTGGTTGGTTGTTATAAAAAAGTAAAAAATTACAACTAACTAAGTGCTATGGATTCTCTTTCACTGCTTAGTTCTCTTTAGTGCTATTTCTTTGAGCTGAAAACTGATCTAGTGCACTTGGCTTCTCTTGAATTTGTTTACTAATTTTGAATGAGATTTAAATATATGCATATGGCTGAATAGGTAGTATTAGATGACAAGTCAGTGGACCTACCCCAATCAATTATACATTCTGCACAGAATGTGCCTACATAATTTCTTTTCCTTGGGGTAAACTTATGTTTTGAAGATGACAGATGGAGAATTCTGAGAATAAAAACCTACTGTCTTGAATTCATGAAGATTTTTAAGGGGCAACGGTCATTTGAATGTATTAGAATGTCTACAGTTCACAAAGTCCAGAGTCAGACTTTAATCTTACATGCTCCGGTTTTGTCTTCTCTTAGAAAAGCTTCTTCCTAACTGGATTATTTTAGAACTTGAGAGAACAATGTTTCGGATTGAAAATAGTATGTGCATGAAAAAGTCATTGTACTATAGTCTTGATGTCTTTCTGTCATCCTATATATTTATTTTCAACGTTTCTCTATTTTTTGTTAAACAATGTGAGTGCATCATCATGTCATCAACAACAAGATGTGTCACTGCATCATATATTGCATATTTGGTGCAGATGTCAACACGGAGAGGTAGTACTGATGTTCATGAGTTTGATGGGGTGTTTCTTGGTTATCGTGCTCAATTTAGAGTGACTTCGGTTATTGGTCATGTGTTCAGGTTTGTGATTAATTCAAACTTTGATAAGTGCGTTGTTCATTGACATGCTTGCTTCTTATATCTCATTTGCTCATTTTATATTTATACATGCAGCATGTATTATCCTATCTTATGAGTGAGTGGGCTTAGTTTTAAGTTCTTTTTATGTGATTATTCAGTGTAGATTTTCCAGCATCATATCAAGACTGGGCATCTACAAATCCTTTGGATCTTTTCCAAGCACCAATTCATAAGACAGAGACAAACCCCAAGGTAAGGAATTCACTTTGTCTGCCAAACACCAATGGTAGTTGCACCACTGCTTAACCTTTACAAGTAAAGAAGTGTTTCATAGAATCTAGAGTATAATTGGAGCATAAAAGGCTAAAAGCTTATTTTGTTTACAAGATGAATGATATGTTCCTTAAGTTTCAGAAATTCCAAAATGGGTTACCAATAACGACGAAAATACTATTGACGTGTAGAATATTGACATCTTCTGGGTTTGATGGGTGGTTATGGTTTTACCATGACCCGTCAGTTAGTGGAAGCAAGTATATGAGACAAAGACAAATTAATATATAATACTTTGTATACTGGAATTGATGATGCAGTGGATTAAGAACACATCTTTATATAGATGGGTGATGTGTCTTATAGTGGGTTAAGGTAAACTAGGGTTTCCATACCTTAACCTGTCCCCTCAAGTTTGCACATATACATGTTCTAAGATTTGATTAATATAACTAGTTAACCTTACATAAAATTATAAAGGATAAATATTAGGAGTGTCTAGAGGATAATAGTTTCGGAGAACAAACATCTATATATCTATATATTTTCTACTCCCACGAATGGATATTAAAGCATGAGGCATAACCAAACATGAACAACCTGAAAAGAGCACGCCAACATGAATACTTTAACACCCATAGAAAAAAGGCTTGCTGAATTTTAATGCTGATGTAACACTCTCCCCTTACTTGAAAAGAGGACAACAAAAACATTACCCTAGTGCCTCAAAGGCTCCCACCCATTTAGGGGTAAGGGGGTTGGATGTAAGTTGTCTAACCCCTATGTTCAAACATAGAACGATTCCAGATGACCCATGTTAGGGGTGAACCGGGGGTCTTATCAAGTTGGAAAGTTGATGGGGAATTGGTAAAGAAAATGAATGGGCAGTGTTATAGGTCGAGTTGGTGAGGGATGAAAAGGGGAGGTATGGGTGTTCTCTTGGCTTGAGAATGTGAAGGAAATGGCAGGAGATATGTGGGAAGAGGCCTGGGTGAAATGGTGATATATGCAGGAGGAGTTTTTTTTGGTATTTTTGGATGAAAGAAAAGAATTAAGTTTAAGAAGAAGAAATGGAGAGATATGAAATGGGCAGAGGGAAAATGAGGGGATAAACCAAGTTGGTGTTTAAGAGATATTACACACTCTTATCTTAACTTGGGGTTAAGTCTAGAACTTAATTAAGATATAACACACTTAATTAAATATCTAGAACCTAAAACTCACACTTAAGATAACCACTCTTAAGATATAGATTTAGGAATTTAAATAGCAAACACAACAAGTGTATTACTAAATGGAAAATGGAATTACAATATGAGTCTCACAAAATGGCCTAAGGCCGAAATAAATACACACACATAGGGGGGAAACTTCCCAGAAACATNAGTGAGGAAAATCACAAGGAAATAAGTGATGATTCTTGGGAAATAATGGGGGACAAAGGGGATGGGTGATGGTTGGTTTTAGTGGCCTTATATTGGGTCATTCATGGAAGGTATGTGGGGACTGATATGGTGGGTGGAGTGTCAATAAACTCACAAAAGTCTTTTGTCCTTTTGTTGTTGTTTATTCAGCCTAAGTGGGAGACACAAGGGGGGCAATGGTTGGTCAATGTTGGGGAATAAAAGAGGGGTTGTTTTTGGCCTCTAGTTTCGGCCTTACATGGGGACAAAGAGGGGCTTGATTAGGTTTGTGGTTTGACATGAGTTTTGGTCTTTTATGTTTTAATTCAATGAAGGAAATCATGTGGGGTATGTTGATGGGTTGTAGTTTCGGCTAGAGGGGAGAAGAAGGAAGAGAAGAGGAGATTAGGGTTTTGGTGTTGTTTTGGATTTTGGGGTTTGGTTCTTGGGTTGGGTCAGCCTTAAGGGGGGAAAAAGCCCAGAGGGATTATGGGTATGGTTTGGGGTTTGTAGAGGACTTCATTCCAAAAAGGATCAAAACACCTAGTCATTATTCCATTGTTTTGTTTAAGGACTTGAGAATTGTTGGTAGTAACGCGGGGTATATCAACCCATGCCAAGCATCGAAAGTTTCATTGACTAACTGCTACTTCATTATTAAAAGAAGCACAAACCGTTTAAAGAGCCATTTTGCTTTATCAACCATTAAACTTATAGGAAAGCCTTCAAAGTACACCCATAACATTGGAAATTATATGAAGATAGATCCTCAAAAAAATTTTCAACGTCAGTGAACGCCCAAAGGTTGTTGGAAAATAAATTAGATGCCATAGATGGTAGTACTACTGGGTCCGCTTAAGAGATACAAAGGCACTGGTGAAAGATTTGGGCCATTGTTTGCTACGAGGAAGGAGATTTTGGATGAAAGACGCACTACCACCACGCCGCATTGGCTGCACTCAAAAATAGAGAATGGCCTAAGAAAGATGCACTGATACCATGTACAATATTGAGATATTGTGGGCATAATAGGTGGCAATTTATGCATAGCCACCTCCATCAATGTATGGAGTACTCTATTTGATGGAGTTGAAACACATCTTTATAGAGAAGGATGATATGCCTTGTATTTGGCTAGAATTTATTTTGGTGGAACTGTAAATTTTATTCCATAAAAAGAAAAGGAGTACATTTGGGATGGAAGAAAAAGAATGAAAGCGAACAAAGTAGAGAAATACAAGCAAGAAGAAACCAAAGAACTACACCCCATATCACTACTGGCCCAAAGATTGAGTGGTTCTGCACAAGATGTCCCCTTGCACCAGCCATGAAAGTCCAGTTGAGTGTGGCTTCACCTGAGAGGGATGACCTTGAAAATTTTCCTGCAAGGTTGAGATCGCAAATCTTCTAAGAGCCAATGTAATGACCCAAAAGTCATTGTGCGATCTGCAACTCCAAATGTATCCCCTTGCATTTGTGATTGGGAGATTCCTGATTTCCCGCCCATAGTTGAAGCTTCAATTCCTCAAGGTAGCTGCGAAGAAAATCTACTACCATGCTACAACCCAAAAGAGTAATCCCACTCAAATTAGTTAATGAAATGGTCTTGAGATATTCTGAACACGGAAGACATACCCAGGCTAAACCAAGAGTAAAACAGGTCCTCAAGACAACATATGAAGCGAGAAACCAACTACCCAAGCTCCAAGCCCTTTCAATAGTAAAAAGGCCCAGCATGTATGTCCATGCTAAGTAAGAAGCACAAGATCACTGCCACAGAATTGCTAACATTTTATAGAAAAATCAAGCCAAGCGAAATAAATCTAGTATGCCAGAGATGTATAGGCTCTCCTCCATACATAGCCCTATTGGCTAATCTCCCATACTAGATGATCGCTTCCCCTTAGCAGTTAGCATTAGCCACACATGCAGATGCTTAACAAGAGTTTCTAAGGCTGTAAATGGATAATATCCGTGACGGATATGGCATATCCGAATCCGATTAAGTTTTGAGATACCCGAACCCGTATTCGTATCCGATGGATATTTACATTTCTATATCCAAATCCATAACCGACAAATAATTCCCGGTTTTTGATATATCCGGATCTAATTACATGTCCGAAACCGACCAAATGTCCAAATCCGACCGAAATATCAATGTGTTCAAACCTAGAAACAAAAATGTAAGATGGGGGTAGAGGTATTCGAACCCAGCACCTCCAATCTTAAAATTCAAAGTTGTAGCCATCTAGGCTAAATCAAACACTTGGTATTTGTAAGTAGTACATAATATATATTTGTTTCTTAATACATGCCGTGTTCTAATTTTTTTAACAAAATAATCTACATCTAACTATAATGCTCTTCATTTTTTCTTTAAATAAACTTCGTATTATTTATAATTATAGGCATACTTATGTTATGTGATAATATTTTATTATGTTTAAGAGTAGTACAAAAAACTTCGCAAACTTTTTTGTTTAAACATAAATATGAATATTTTATACCAAGCTATGGGTCGTTGACCTGATTCAGACCTTGTTCGACCGGTTGACTCTTGACTTAATTGCTAGTTCAGTTTGACGTTCGTTCTGGTTTTCTGAACATTTTCGAATATCTGAAACTATTAATACAAATTCAAACGATTATAAAAGGAATGTGAAAGTGAATATCGAAATCCACAATACTGAACAACGTCAAATACGTAAAAAAACTAATGTCTAAATAGTAAATACTTAACCAAAACAAATGATTCGAACAAAAATATAAATTCATAATCGGCCAAGTACTTTATGGAAGTAATGGTAACACACTAAGGTTAGAGACTTAGAGGGTAAGTTATACTTTTAGATGTATGGGCCAAGAATAGATGTATAATGGGTTGGGTAGAGGATTATATTTATCAATATAATTTTAATTCAATATTCGGATAAACGGATATTCGGATAAACAGTTATCTAAATAGATGTATATCCGGATTGGATTTAAACGAATCGGATATACAATTACCAAATTCGTATCTGTTTAGTAATTGGATGTCCTTAATCGGATATGGATATCCGTTTAAAACGGATGCAGATTATTCCCGTTTAAACGGATACAGATGCGGACGGTAATCGGATATTCGGTTATCCATTGATAGCTCTAGGAGTTTCTTATCCTTTAACATATTGGTAAACAAATATTCTCTTTTTTCATTGACCTTCTGCAATGTCCACTTTGTCAAGCATTAATATGTAGTTTTTAGCCATCCCTTGTAGATATCTATATCCATTAAGTGATTATTGGATGCTAATCATTGGCTTTCCAGGTTGATAGAACTGTCAATAGGCCTCCCATTCTAGGAAACCACCTCCAACAAATGAATAGTTCAACAAGTTAGTTTATAACTGAAGCGAAAATTTTGTAATTTTTAAATTTAAGATCTTACATGTCTTCTTAAACATGTGTCATTCGGAGTTTATTCATTTTTGCTATTACATGATAGTCATGTACAAATCTTTGTCATTTAGAAGTAGTTAAAGTGTGCTCTTATCTGTAGTTTGAATTGATAGAGCCAGCTATCTAACATCTTGGAAATAAGGCTCACATTTGTAGGCATCTAAGCAATGAAGCTCGTGGGTGTGGACATCTAGTATTGTGGTTGGATTGTGACCGTGAAGGAGAAAACATATGCTTCGAAGGTACCTTTCCCTATAAGATTGTTATTACACACTCACATAGTACATGAGAGTACTTATCAAACATGTATGTATTTTACTCAAATACTTGAATATTGGTTATACATTCAAACCATGTTTCTTTCTTTCCTCATCTATGTTTCTCTCTCTGTCTCTCTTAATGTTTTTCTTTCTATTTCTTTTCTCCCATACAAATCAATGAATGTTCCTAAATATGGTATATATTGACCGAAGCAATAATGCTTCATGGGTAATGCCAAACTATATTGGATCAAGGTTTAGTTGAGTTGTGCTGAGTTATACAGAGCTTGTAGGATAGGCCAATTAGATTGTGCTATTCAGGCAACAATAGGCACAAAATCCAAGAATTAGAATAGAAGTAGGATATTCCAGCTAGGTTGTTATGTTTATAGGGCGTATGCTTGTCGTGTAAATCCACGAACAAAGTTAGGAATTAGAGTGGCAGATTTTTGGAGTAGAAATCTCATATGCTCTCTGAGAAATAGCCTTTCTACCATTAGAAGGCAGGGGTAAGGTCAGTGCTCACCTACGCTCCCCAGCTCCCACTTGTGGGACCTAAGTCACCTCACTGGGTTGTTGATTTTGTATTGGCACTCCTTGTCTCTTGTAAGTCCAAGAGCCCAATGTTGTTTCATACTCTTTTTTGAAAAACTTCACTAGGCCCATTATCATAAATATTGTGAAAAGGAAAACCTATATAGAACCAAAAAAGCCAGGTCTCAAAATCACAGTTAATCTGTTCATGTCAATTTTCTCATGAATCCAGATCTGTTAATTACATCTGGAATTGCAAGTTGCAACCATTAATTTTTAGCAAAGATTTGATATAGACATTTCCCCAATCACGAGTTCATTGAGTTGATTAGACCTACTTTAGAATCTTTCTATGAGATCTTATTTGATGTTTTCTTGGTTCTGCTTTTGAAATAATTTGTTTCAGTAATTGAGTGCACTGGATTTCACGGGAATGATGGGAAAAGAGTATACAGAGCTCGGTTCTCTTCTGTTACTGAAAAAGATATTCAGAAAGCCATGAATAACCTTGTTCCACCTAATAGAGATGAGGCACTCGCTGTAGATGCACGCCAAGAGATTGATCTGAAAGTTGGAGTTGCATTTACACGTTTCCAGACTAGCTATTTTAATGGAAAATATGGCAATCTTGATGCCAGAGTTATCTCGCAAGTCTTTTCTCTCTCTCTCTCTCTCTCTCTCTCTCTCTCTCTATCTCTCCATGTATGCATGCCTGTGTGGGGGAGGGAAGGATATTTTAAATGTCAATGGATCCTGCATCCTAAGGCGATGCATATTTAAAGCATGCTCTTTATAGCTGCTTTCTTTATGCAATTTTATTATGTCATATTTTGTTTGTATCTTTGTTATTTTGTATAATGATGTGTTGATTCATATTTTTATTGTAACTTACTCCCTCCGTCCCGTTGGATAGTTTATGGTTTGACTTGCCAGAAATTAAGAAAAGTTTGGAAAGTAAAAATGTGGTTTGAATTTGATTAGAAGGGAGAATAATATTGGTCAATGTATTCTTTACCAAAACAGGGAAATAAGTGAAGTGTAAACTTTCTAATGGGACAAATGAAAAATAAAAGTGTAAACATTTCAACGGGACAGAGAAAGTATGTTTTATTGTTCTCTTTAGTCTTGTCTAACATGTGATAGTAGTATAATACTCCAGTTAATTGTTGCAATTTGTTGATGAATAATTTCATTTCATTATCAATGTTAATATTGTCGTTTCTCTTTGTTTTCAATTTGTCAGGTATGGGCCATGTCAAACCCCGACACTTGGATTTTGTGTTGAACGCTACCTGCAAATTACTACATTCAAGCCAGAAAAATTTTGGATGCTGAATCCATATATAATGTATAAGGGATATGAACTTAAATTAGAATGGGAGCGTAGCAGGTTGTTTGATGCAGATGTGAGTTCATCTATTGTTATAAGTAATATTTTAGAATAGATTCCATTGAATCTTTTCCTATCCATACGTATGTGCAAACCATGTCCTGTTATCATAGGTTGCTGTGTTGTTTTGTAATGTAATAAGAGAGGATGGAATCATGAAAGTTGTTCGTATATCCGAAAATCAGGAATGCAAAGGTCGCCCTTCTGGTTTGAACACAGTTAATCTTCTGAAGGTCAGAGCTTGATGATTTCCAATACTCTTTATTTCGTCTTTTTTTGTGACAGTTTATTTATATATTTTTTGCTATGTGCTTTAGTTTGCAATCAATGTCAGCCTTGTGCTAGCAGCGACTTCTCCTTTCTATATGTTCAAAACTTCAATATGCTACCTTCCTAGGAACTAATGAATGGATCTTCTTGCTCTTAATTCCAATCAAAGATAAATAGTTAATCCCCAAGTTCCAGGAACTTAATACGTGTTCTCATTCTTTTTCACACATCGTTGTATTTTTACAACTTTCAGGTTGCTTCAAGTGCATTAGGATTCGGTCCACATTTGGCTATGCAATTAGCAGAGCGTCTTTACACACAAGGTTTCATCAGGTTTTTTCTGCTTATATAATTTCATTGTTTTTACTATGCTACAAGCTGAGATCAGGTGGCGGAACACAGGAATAAGGCCTTGTCAGAATAGCTCAAAAACTTAGTTTATAACTAGATAGAAATTGTCTCATTCTTAACAAGCCACCTAATGTTTCTCGTATAAACAATTTCACTGAGAAATTCTTTCGTGTATATCTATAATTATTGCTTTTGCAGAAGAATAATAGTCCCATAAGACTAAGTGAGTAATTGAGTGTATAAGTCCATGTGGAAACTGGAAAGTTAAACTATACATCAATGCATGTCTAAATCTTTTTATTCTTTTTTGGGTCTATTTTTGTTCTCTTCCAGCTACCCACGTACAGAAAGTACAGCGTATCCTTCTTCTTTTGACTTTAGAAGCGCACTTGGAGCATTGGGATGCAATCCTTTGTTTGGTGATTATGCAAAGAGGCTGCTATCTGAAGGCTATGTTAAGCCACGGTCAGGGACTGATGTTGGTGATCATCCTCCAATAACACCGATGCGTTCAGCTGCTGAGGATACTTTGGGGAATGATGCTTGGAAGCTCTACCAGTATATTTGCCAGCATTTTCTTGCAACTCTATCTCCAGATTGCAAGTATAAAAGGTAACATCTTTGAGTGTTCATCCATATCTGGATTGTCGGCTGTGGATCTTATTTTTTGCCTTGTGCTTTTAGTTTTTGCCTTGTTCATCCATAATTGAGGTGTGTTTTTAGTTCTATCTTGAAATCATTTTGTCACTGTTAATTAACAAAGTTACTTTTTTAAAAATAAAAATTTGGTATTGCCTGTCAACATGATTTTCTAAAGACTACTAAAATTCTTATGGATTTGAAAAATTGGACCAAAACCTAATCAGTATTGGAAATCACAAATTCACAATGGGTTTATGAGTAGGACATTAACAATTGCCATCAATCTAGAATGTTTAAATCATTTGTTCAAAGTTTGACATACATTTCAAACTTGATTCTCTCACTTCTTGTACTTAATGATTTTATTTTGATTCATGCTGCTCACCTATATAAACTAATGGCGTCCCATATGCTTTTCACCTATCTCTAGTATAACTATAGCTGTGAATTGTAGAAATTTGGAAATAACCTGAGAACTTGAGTATTCAGTGTAGTTTTGAACCACGTTTGCTGTGGTAGGGTTTCTTTGGAAAAGACCACAAAAAAAATTTCTTCGTCACGCACTATACCTGAACTGTAACTTATATGTCATGGCACAAATGTTTAATTTTTTAATCTATTCAACTTGTATTCATTTTTCTGAAATTGCATGTGCCTTAGTTTTTGCTTCTTCTGTTATAACTAGTGTGTGTCATTTAATTCCAGGACGAGAATTGATTTTGAATGTGGTGGAGAGCTCTTCCATTGCATTGGGCAGCTTGTCACTTTGAAGGGATTCACGTCCATTATGCCATGGCTAGCAGTTAGTGAGAAAAAGTTTCCCGAGTTTCTTGAAGGGGACAAAATAGCAATTTCAAAAGTTGATTTAGATGAGGTTTGTGTCTTCAATCTTTGTCACAAGAAACAAAGCTTTTGGATTATCAAGTAAATGGATCCTTTTATTTTGTGCCTAAAATACAAACATAATGCTTATTAATGCCAATAGATATAGTCTATTTCACATGATGCATGAATATCCTATATGGGAATGGGATCCATTATAGTTTGTACAATTATATTTACTTGAATAAAGTTATGAAGTATTTAGGAGAATGAACTCTCCTGGTTAAAACCTAAATATGGTTAAAACCTAAGTATTATAGGACTAATGCTACTCCTAAGTCAATCTAATTACCATCATGTCATTCTTCTACTTTTATTGTCATTTTCCACTCTCCCTCAAGATTATAAATCATATGCACCAAGCATGTTACATATATTTTATCGAAGTGTTTTTTTTCAAGATGTGTGCAAGTTGATCGTATGTTGTTTTGACATATGTCAAGATATGAGCTTCTTTGGGATAAAGTGGCAATAAACCTAAATGTGCTTAGTTGTTTCGTGGTATAGTGGGTTTGATGGGATCTGCTTTGTTAACAAACATTAATGGTACTTGTTTTGTGCTCTCGTACTTTTAACTCTTGGAAGAGGTGCTCTAACCATAAGATTTGGCATGCATCAATAACCATTACATGGTACCATGCTTCAAAACTCCATTTGTAATTACTATTATAAGTGATTAACTTCCTACAAACCAATTTATCCAGAAGTTGGCTAAGCACACACCACGAATGAAAGGTTTGGTCTCATGATGAGATAATTTAATTTTTCCACTAGGCTTCTTCATAGACTCGATATGGGCTCAAACATTCAACAACAACCCAGTATAATCCCAATATCGTTGGAGTTTGGGGGAGGGGGTGGTCAAGATGTACACAACCTTACCCCTCTAAAAAAACAGAGAAGTCGATTGTCTCCAACCCTCAAGGCATTGTTGCATCTTCTACCCAAAACTTCATAGGAACTAAGAAGCAAAGAAAGTTTAATGTGTCATTTTTATTAAGTCAATTATATACCCAGAGTTAAAATATTGTCAACAATGACTCTATAAGCTCCATCGGCTGGAAACAATGGACTCAAACATCTTAATGAACTAAATCAAATTGGGATGCAACCTGTTGATGGACCCTATTTAGAAAGGACTAACGGGGTTGCTTTCCAAGGTGACATGATTCACAATATAGTGATGAAACCGGAACTATATGCCCAAGTTTGGAGAGACTTGGGTGGCCCACTCAGCTATGTAAAGTAATCTAGGAGGCAAGGTTATCACGCCAGGGTTCCTAAGCCACTTGGCAACCACCTAGGTGACAATTGACGAATGATAAATAATAAGTAGAGATAAACACAATTACACTAACTCTTTTAGATAATTGTAACCCTTTGTTTGGATGAGGAGAGAAAATGAGAGGAGATAAAATAGAAAGAAAGAAAATGGAGATAAAAGAAAATGAGGAGAAAATAAAGAGAAAAGTTTATTGTTTGGATGAGTAGAAAATGAAGAGAAAATGATAATTAAAGAAAAAGCGATACTTTCTTTCCTTTGGTTGGAGAGAAAAGTAAGAGGAAACAAAACACAGTGATGTAAAATTAGATTTTTGTACAAGAGGATAAAGTAATTTCAAGCATTTGAAGAGCACAGAAGTAATTTAAATGTTCTCTCTTCACACATGCACTTTTCTCTTCTTTGATGAAGAGAAATTTTTTAGCATGGTCAAAACCATTATTTTCTCTTCTCTCATTTTCTCTCTCAACCAAACAAGAGAAAATGCCTTGAAATTTGTGTTTGATTTCAACACATTTTCTTTCTTTGTATTTTCACTCCATCCAAATGGAGGCTAACACTCTAATATTAATATTAATATATCAAGAAATAAATTGTAATTCAAAAACTTTAAATCCACCATAGTTAGCTAAGTTTAAAAAATCATCAAGAGAGGAAGCCTCCAAATGTTCTCATTGCAAATTGGACTAGTTAACTATACTTAAATGAGGGTAATGTGAGCATTTTTTATGCTTCCTCTCTTGGTGATTTTTGAAACTTATTAGTTTATTTTGTTTTAAATGGATATTATAAATGGTGATTTTGAAGTGTAAGAATTACAATTCGTTACCTGATATATTAATAATGTTACATTGTTAATGTATTTATCATTTGTGACTTGTCGCTTAGGCGTCCCGGTGGCATTGGTGTCGCACCTGGCTTAGGCATCCTGGATACTTAACAATGTGGAATTTTAGTTGGTAGAAATTTATTTTCAGGATCATGAAAATTTAGTAGTTATTCCATTTAGTTGATCAACTATATGGAAATTTAGTTGTAGATGATTATTGGGCAGGATCATGGTCACATGAAATTAGAGTGCAGGATCACTAGTTATTGTATTTTTCTTGGTAGAATTTTAGTGTCATGAAAATGTAAGAAACAGAATGTGGTATTGTGGCACAGAATCGAAATATCATGCTAAGACATAACCTGCATGTCAGGTAATATGGATGCTACATCTACTGAAGCAAACTGGATTCCAAATGCACATGTGTGATGTGATAATCAAGTTGCTATACACATTGTAGCTCATCTAGTCTCTCATGAGAAAATGAAGCATATTGAAGTGGATTGCAATTTAGGAGTTTGTTAACCAAAGCGCTACATAGGGTTCAGGTTTATCTTTGTAACAAGTGGGCATCATAATTATATATGCTCCACGAGGGGAATTTTTAGTTATTGTTACCCTAAATCTAATTGTAATGTTACCCTAATGAGCTTAGTCCAATGCCAATTGAATTTAGCATACCTCTGACTCTAGATTATGCCTATGTATAGGAGTTGTTATGTACTAGTCAAGAAGGGCACAAGTTTTCTTTCTAAATAAATATTCTGAATTGTGAAATTATAGGGAAACACTATGCCTCCCGATCACCTAAGTGAAAGCGAGCTGATCTCGTTGATGGAGAAATATGGAATAGGAACTGATGCATCTATTCCTGTTCATATCAACAACATATGTGAACGCAACTATGTCCAGGTATGCAATCTTTTTTTAAATTTTCTGTAGCTTTTTGTCAACTGAGTCCCTTCCATGCAGCCTGAATGGAAAAAAGTACCATTTACTGATACTTCTAAATAATATGTCTTTAACTGCAGGTGCAGGCTGGACGGAGATTGTTCCCCACTCCTTTAGGGATCAGCTTGATAAGAGGTTATCAGTGCATAGATCCGGATCTTTGCTTGCCTGACATTCGAAGTTTCATAGAGCAACAGATCACACTTGTAGCTAAAGGGCAAGCAGATCATTCTTTGGTTGTGGAGCATGTTCTAGAACAGTTTAAAAGGAAGTTCAGCTATTTTGTTAAGCAGGTAAGCACTTAATGCCTGTTGATTTTTCTTTTGGGTATAAGCTCTTTTAGATTACCTCCTGTAAGTCTGTCATGAAAAAAGAGCAACTCCTATCACTTTTCTTCATGAAATGAGAGTCTCTTTGACTATCTTAATTCTCAAAGATCAGTTTTTTTAGCAAAAGAGATGCAAGTCAGTTTTCCAGGTTGTGTTGTAATTGCATCTTTGGTTTCTCTACAATGCTGTATTGTGGCCAGCCCTGTTGTTGATGCTTTTAAAAGTACAAAGAATTTATATTCTAAAAATGCACCAAGGGGTACCAACCTCAATTAAAAATTACTTTCTATGAAGTATGTCCCAAACTTAAATAAATTGAACCTGTTTGAATCACAATTCACAAATATGGTCTCCGATTTTAAAATATTTTTGCATCTTCTTTTTGCTTTTGGTTAAGTTTCTGATATTATTAGAGCCCTTCCAAGGTCCATGAACATTTTCTGCAGTTATAGATTGTGTACTATATTTTTTTCTATGTACACTTTTGTAAATAAATATGATGAGATAAACCTCAAAACCATAATTGGTTTTCTTTCATATGCATGATCATCATTAGACATCAATGAGTTAAGATGGCTTTTATGGAAAAGGGAAAAAAAGACAAGAAAAAAAGGGGTGCATAGAAAGTCAGAAACACAGATAAGATCGAAAGGTCGAGATTTAAAAGTATTGCTTGTGGAAGCACTTTTATGCCATTTCTCTCTTTCCTTGATGCTGGAGTTCTGTAAATTGACCATTCTTTCTTTTTCATCACATATGAAATATCGTGTATGCGCATTATGCGTGAAAGATGCATTCATTGGCAATCTAAATTTTGTCCTCTCTATTTAGATTGAGAATATGGATGCATTGTTTGAAGCACGATTTTCTCCACTATCTGAGTCTGGGCGCCTACTAAGTAAATGTGGCAAATGCTTGCGCTACATGAAGTATGTATCTACGCAGCCATCACGACTATACTGCAATACTTGTGAGGAAGTTTATTATGTTCCTCAAAAAGGAACAATCAAGGTATTAAAATTCACAACTGCTGAATTACTGAAACTCTCTAAATCTTATGCTAGAATATGCTCTACAGAAATTGGCATTTTCAGGTTGCAAACTCTGTCAGACCAATCTCTCATGTTTCTCATATGAGCTGTATTATACAGATCAGAGAATCATTGTGGTTGATTTTCCAATTAATTTTCTGTTTCAGATTACCCCCTTTCAGAATTTGTGGCCTACAATATTCACAAGCTGAAGAATGATATCAAAAGAAATGAACTTTATTAGACAAATACGAAACCATTAAGCAAATCAGTCACATTTGATTCATAATATGAAAGATAATAGAAGCCTTATGGATTTCCATGCTTTGATTTTATTGAATAATTAAAAAGATCCATGGGTGAAAACGATGCTGACGGAAATTATTGAACCAATAGGATTTCTAAGGCATGGTTTTGACTTTGGAGAGTATAGTTAATTTAGAAAAACAGCATTGGCATAGAATTTGAATGTTTTTGGAAGTATAGTTACTGATTTGACTACTTTTGGAAGTAAACATTACAATAATAACAATACTCCGTAAGAAGCTGATGTCTAAGCAGAAACAGTTAGAAAAGAACATGACATTCGAGATTAACTGAGAGGGGTAGGAATTTTGAAATAAAAAGAGTTCATTAGGGATTTTGTTATGGGATAACCTAACTTGATATAAAGGAGTCACAACAAAGGGGAAAGTGTTAACATCAGGCCTAAATAGTGTTAATAATAATGAGATGAATCTCTATTGGATTGTATTATTGAAAAGAATGGGTCTTCTTCTCTCTAATTTCTTGATGCCCTTATTATTTGCATTAATAAACTGTCAGAGCTAAAGTATGTTAAATTTTCCTACCCATGCAGCTATACAAGGAACTAGCATGCCCTCTGGATAATTTTGAGCTATTATTGTTCAGCATACCCGGGCCAGAGGGCAAGTCATTCCCATTCTGTCCCTATTGCTACAACTGTCCTCCATATGAAGGGATTGCCACACTATTCGGCGCCCCTAGATCGGGGGGTACCCCAGATTCTGCCAAGCTGGGGAAGGGAGTTGGAATGCCTTGCTTTCTGTGTCCCCACCCTACATGTCAGCATTCCATGATAACTCAAGGGGTCTGTGCCTGCCCAGAATGCAGCGGAACCCTTGTCCTTGACCCAGTTAGTGCCCCCAAGTGGAGGCTAAACTGTAACACATGCAACTGCCTTGTCTTTCTGGCTGAAGGTGCCCATCGCATTGCCACAACCAGAGACCGGTGCCCTCAATGTGACTCCACCATCATAGAAGTCGACTTCAACAAGAAAACAACACCGTTGAAGGATGGAAGCACACTTCATAAGGGATGCATTCTCTGCGACGAGCTTCTTCATTCTTTTCTGGAAATGAAACATGCGAAATCGTTCTCTAGGCACTGGAAGGGAAGGGGTAGGGGGAGGGGAAGAGGAAGAGGGAGGGGGCGAGGGCCGGGTGGTAGGAAACAAGACCCCAAAATGAGTTTTCGGGACTTCTAGCTAGTCAGTTTTCCTCAGTTTTATACTTATAGTAGTTTGTATGTACAATTTTGAGGTGTGATTTGGTGATCTTTCATTGTAATTTAAATTTCCTACTGTACTAGCAGATACGGAGTACATATCAGAGTTTTTGGTAGAATATAAAAACTTTTTCTTCACGAACAATTATAAATTTAAGTTTTTGATTGAGTTGTTTTTTTGACTTGGTATCAGAGTTTGGTTGAACCAAGAAGTCATGTGATTAATGGTACACAAATTGCTTAAACTAAGGCTTTGCTAAGAATCTTGTGTTTATACATATTACGGAGTACATTATACGCATCATAAATCCAGAAAATTTAGATTTATAATTATTATCGAAATGATTCGCAATTAGCTAAAAGGTTCTAGCCAAGATTCTTGAATTTAATCCAACCTTTTCAAGATTATTTTTAGTAGATTTGGAGTATTCAACTTAAAAATTAGAGATTTTCCAAGTTGAAAATCAATAGCTAATAATATTTTAAACATAATGATTTAAACACAAACATTTTGAAATCAAATGAATTTCCGTCTAAAAAATAGTCGTTTGCAAAAAAAAACTTTGGAATACTAACTTCATACCATCATTAAATTATTTTGGTGAACATCGTAGTATCTCACATATATGTTTGAGCATTGCTCACTTCGTGACAACCCCATCCAAAATGGTCCACGGGCTTTACGGATTAGGGTATTATAAAAGAAATTACTCGTACGTGCTCTTCATTCTTTTTATTCTTTTTTTTGGCATTTTCAAAAAATGCCAAAAAAGGTACTCCCTCCGTCCCATTTTATAACGCCTGTTTCGGTTTACGATGTTTGACTGAAGTTATTTTCAAATCATTTTATATGACAAATGGTATAGACTTAAAAAATAAAAATTACATATCAAAATACTACATCAAAAGATCTACAAAACTAGTAGTGACAACAACATTTTATTTTATCAAATTGCTAATGAAAATAGAGAAAGAAAGTGAACAAAGTTTGACCCTGTGAATAGTGAACAGGCATTATAATTTGGGACGGAGGGAGTAGAATATTTTGAAGGAATGGAGAAGTTTGAAGTGGATAAAGCATTACAAAAGGACATTGTTACTTCCACCAAACCATTAGTTGATGTTGCCCAAGTCACTCTGTCAAGGCACAAACTATGGAGCTATATGGCATTGCTATCAAAGAAGCGTTAAGTTGGGTAAAGTTGGGTTAGAGGCAAAGGTTGAGATCACGTCATTATGGAGACCGATTGCAAAGAGTATGTGGAGACTATAAATAACGATGTTCACGACTAATCCTACTTTAATTATATTGTTCAAGATTCTAAACGTCTCTGGAGTAACAGAGATCTTAGATTTCAATTTTCTTTTCGTTTTGCTAATGCAGTTGTGCATTTGTTAGTGCAAACTTCACATTCCTTATGAGCATGGGTTGGCTCCCTCTCATCTTTTTTTGTTAGTGCGAGAGTAATATAATATACCTTTGTTTTAAAAAAGCATTGCTTGACGTTTCGACTAAAAACAAAGTAGATGATCTTTTTTAACACCAAAAATGCAAAAAGCTACTCCCAGATGACGCATGTTTTTTCCGAAATAACTTTTTGGTCCTTATATTTTCGAAAATCCAAGAGAGCTCCTTAATTTTTGATGTAATGATTAAGAGCGGACATTCCAGCTAATACTTCATCCGTTGGTATTAATAAACCGTCACTTTCGTGTACCCATCGGACGGCTATGATCCTTAAATTTTTGCCCTTAATGTTTTATGGTAATAACTTTTAGGTCTCTCACTTTTTAGTTTCTTTCTTTGCTTTGTTTTTTGTTTCTCTTTTTTTCACTTTGTTTTTTCATAAAGGTCTTTTTAAAGTTTCTTCTAGAAACTAGTTTCAAAAATTCAAACTTTTGTATGATATAAAAAATAAATAAATAAGGACCTTATCAAAAAAGAAAATTAGATCTTTTTTTTTTAACTTTGTACCAATTATTAAAAAAAGAATCTTGAGGGCCTTCTAGGGAAAAAATTGCTTTATTTTCCAATTTTTTAATATTACTTTGTCTTTTTTTAGGAAACTTCTTTATTTCATTTATTTTCAAACCATACAAACAATTTTAATTTTTGATACAATTTTCTAGAAGAGATTTTTAAAAACGTTTAAAAAAAAGAGTAACAAAAAAAAAAAGAAAAACAAAGAAACCAAAAAGTGAGAAACCTAAGAGTTATTACCACAAAATATTAAGGGCAAAGTAAGAAAAAACATTTTTTAACGCCTATGCTTGAAATATTGGACGAAATGTTCTCTCCTAGTCATTACAACAAAATGTAAAGACCTTCGTTTTCTTATTAAAAATATGGGAATCTGAGAATTATTTCGACAAAACATGCATTACCCATGGGTAATTTTCTATCTAAAATCACAAACAAAAGTTTACCAAATCCACAAACTTATTAATTTTTATTTATACTTTCATTTTTAATTATTTGAGACTATTTTATCCTTTTCAAAGAATTCAAAAATAAATTTAGAAATTTTGTACTAGGTAGTATCTTTGTCTATGATAGTGTGAGTCTAGAACAGAATTAGTTCACGATATTTGATTGAAATTATTTTTAATTCTAATTATTTAAAAATTAGAATAGAATTAAGAAATAAAATTTAAGGATTGCATACTCTGTATCAAAAAACAAAGTCAAAAAGTTTATAATACAGAAATTGACATGACTATATTATTTTATAACATGAATAACAAAAATAGAAAAAGATATTGGATGAAATTTGACCAAACATGTAACTTAAATTACTCGTACTTAATTGGGGGAAGTAGTTTGTTTTGAAGATTTTTTTGCCATTGCCATCTTGCCATTAATTGGTGAGTGCAATCTCATAAATTCCAAAGCCCATTCTCCATAATTTCACAGTCGAGACGAAACCGGTGACGGGAAAGAAGTAGAATAGGTACCGTTCCCGACTTCCTGGAGGGTCATCATCGTGTTCCGGCGAGTGGCGCGAGGCCAATACTGCCCTCTCTTCCCCAACCGCCGCCATACATATATTTAGAAACCAAATTGCTCGCTGATTGCCAATAACAGTTCACGGACCGAAGGAATTTCAGTGAATCAAAATTCGGGTCGGATTTGGAAAGACATGAGAGGCATTAATGGATGATAGCATTTCGGAGGAAGAATGGAATTGACTCTCGTTACCTTCTTCTGATTGGAGTTGCACTGTACATGGCCAATCCTGTTTCTCAACGTCGTTGTGTTTTTGGTCAGTAACCAGCTTGACTATTCTATTCCTCTTGATAGATAATACTGATTTTGAATTGAATACTTGATTTGGTTTCAATTGCTTCACTCAGTTTTAATATGTATCACTGGAAAATATGACACATAATATTTACCTAGTATACAAAGTTACAAACAATTTGGTTAATTCAAACATTGTTGATGGTAATATATAGTTGGGAATATACCATATGATGCCTCTGAAGAGCAGCTAATTCAAATTTGTGAGGAGGTTGGCCCTGTTGTTTCCTTCAGGTTAGTTTTCTAGTTGATTTAACTTCATTTTTTTAATAAACAATCCCAACTACCCGGACTAACAAGTATCTTAAAAAAATTGCAATGAGAATTATTAATACAGTTCATACCTTTTTTTTTCTTAGTTTCTTTCATGAAAAACCCATTCATGTAATAGTATCTAACAATTTATTGTTTTTGAAAAAAGTATGAACTTGTCTATAGTCCAGTAATTGCATTTAGCAATACAGGACATGGTCTGAGTCCATTATCATATTAGTAAAAGCACCAAACATTGGTTCAGGATAAAGAGTTACAGAGTATTTAATTAGTACTGGAAAGAAAAAAAATCACGTGAGAGTTCAATTGCTGTACTGAATATATGCTTCTGCATAAAAACATTGAATACCATTGATGGTATAATGAGTGAATTGAATGTTGGATCTGCAATAGTAGTTTGTATGCTTATGAAGTTTCACTTTTTGTATAAAGAAAATAGTGTGTGGTCCAAAGCGATTATTAGTCATCTTTTGATGGGTAGGGGAAATAAGAGAGAGAGGCACTAAGTGTAATGATTATGGGCCTCATGGCCCTCTTTTCTCGATCAAATCTTTCACAACTAAATCTGGGAGTATGGGTGGGAGTAAAAACTCTCACTTCACATAGGACTTTTTTTTTAATTATTTGTTGTAATGCCTTTTTGGTTTTTAGGTTTGTTGTACTTCAATTACTCATTTATTTGTTTGAATGCTATGATATTTTTGTATTGTCTTTTGCTTTTGGCCATGGGTAGTATTGTAAAAGTTACTTAAATATTTTTAAAACATCTTTCAAAATTCACTTTGATAAAGAAATGTAAAAAAAAAAAAACTATTTTACTTTTTTCCTCCTCAGGCTAGTAACTGACAGAGAAAGTGGAAGGCCCAAGGGTTATGGGTTTTGTGAATACAAGGATGAAGAGACTGCACTGAGTGCTCGTCGTAATCTACAGGGATATGAGATTAATGGCCGCCAATTAAGAGTTGATTTTGCTGAGAATGATAAAAATGCTGATAAGAGTCGTGAACAAGTAAGATATCTGGTTCATTGGTTATCTTAACTCTAAATAGATTCAGCTCTCACTTATTTTCTTTGCACTATTTTCAAGCGGCTATTTGTCCTGTCACTATTTGTTAAGCTGTTATTTAAATTTGGTTTGATGGAAAATTTCACTTTTTTAAAAGCTTGTTCAAGTACTTAAGAGTTTTTCCAGATTTCTAAAAGAAAAGCCTTTTTTGGGTTCAAAATTAACAATTCATCAAATCAGAGTGTAAAAACTGAAAACATTGGCTCTCTTCCCTCTTGAGTTCATTCCCAAACCCAAAAGATTTAACACTATGGTTAACAAATTTATCGCTTTGCCATTGATTTACTGCTAGGAAGTTCGGTGGTTGATGATTGCTCATGGTGGTCCCAATAGAGAGTGGTTGTTGGTTGTGGTTATGGTGTCTTAGTATGTTCTGCATGGTCAATGTTGGGCTACGATGGTCGATTTTTGAGTGGTGACAATCATTTTTTTTCTTTTTATTTTTCAATTTGCACACCATTTGTGATTTCCCAATTTTGAAGAAAATAAAGGGCCTTTGTTACTTCTTTCTCTTTTTGTTACAGTA